ATGGAAATCCTCTAACGGTCTAGGATACTCGCAGAAACTTCTCAGAACTTCCGGAAACTCGGAAACTACCGAAAAATTGAAAATTTTCATTAATCATATGTTCATTGTTAGAACAATCTTCAGATTGAAAAAATTTGTCGGCAAACCCCCAACAAATTCGTAACTATATACACCAGTGTAAACTATTGTAGACATTCACGATCACACACAACAACCACACCTACATCACTGTACACTAGTGTAACTGCCTTCCAGCATCATCAGTACGGTAAGGAATCAGCAAGCGATGACAACGATCCCAAAATATATAAACCAGGAAGCAAACGATGCACGAGGCACCATCTGCAACCTAGTAGATGAAAAAAAAAGATGATGAAAAACAAAAGGAGCAAACGGGAGCCTAAGACCCCAATTTGCAGCCTAGAATAATTAGAGTCGCCCAGGATTGTGGGCTTCGTCTAGCACAGCTGCGGAGGTAGCCAAGAGCAACCCGCCGCAACACCCTTAGCCAAAGTCAAAACAAAATAAAAATTGAAATAGTGAGGGGAATATATAAAAACAGAAGGAAAAAATTAGTCGGCAATAATCTTCAGATTTTCACGCATTCTTTAAGAGAAGACACTGTCTCCTTAGTGAACACCTCAGTAGATTGAGGCTAAAAACAATGGCGAATGCAGATTCTGTGGGGAAAATGGTGAACAAAATTTTGGTACCACTGATATCGGAGATGGAGAACTAACCTTCCAGATACTGGCTTTTGATAAAGACCTGAGACTGTATGATGAGTTATAACTCAAGTAAGAGGGACACGATAGATCTGTGAGGTCGCGGTGATTAACACCCTCCCATAAATTCTACATTCTACATCTACAATAACATCCCTACTTCCTACCTTCAAAAAGTGTGTGATGAAAAAATAGTTCGGTATAAATAGTTTTCTAATAATTGAAGTACCGAAATAGAAAAGTCCGACATTGTCTTGAGGGTATTATTTTACCCGAATTCATCAAACTGATGTTCTATTGCATTAAAATATTGGATTACCATAAGATAATAATTGCCGTAAAATATTTAAAATTGTATTTTCATTTACTGAATTACAATCTTTTTACTCCTATGCTCTTCCATTCTTCCTATAGAGTTATAGAGGGTGGATTTCAAAATAAAAATGGAATGACTTGACTACATGGAGGTATCTCAATCTCCCAAAAATACGCGGTGAGGGATTTACAGGTGGTCGTTATAAAAACTACGCTTTGCTGTCAGTCCGAGGTAAATAAGGCAATCTATTGGGATACCAATACTATTGGGATACCAACTATTGCCCATCCACACCGTTTAGAATCTGGACATAAGGGTCAATTTATACATACTTACCGCTGTTTTCGGACAACTCGGATTTACATACTCTGCGCTGTGTTTGTCATTTTATGGAATCAACCCAATCTCACCTGATGATGGGGTAGGGCCCCGAACCCTGTAGTGAGAGCAGGTTGTTCCCCATTATGACGAATACAGTGTGGAATTAATTTCTATATTAGCAGTTCAAGACAAGAATACTTTATCTATTTAGAATAATATCATTTCATCACATTTTATATATTGTGTATTGTGTGTCGCGTTTAAATAATCAAAAGGTACTACTTAGTGTTATCCGTCATCCTTTTACGGAATATTTCTCATGTAGTCATTACAATGCCTATTAGTTCTGCCGTTCCTTCTTCCCTCTCAAATTCGTCTTTAAAGATGCTTCCATTAAATATTAAGTTATAGTTTTATTATTATTATTCTTTGGAAGGAAAAAATTAAGAAATCATAAAATGGGATCGATGATTGCCGATCGGTTATTAATCAGCTATTATCAATAACAGCTTTAATAATTAATTCCAATTGACTTCCGTCAACGCTACGAATCCAACGAGAACAGTTCATCAATTATTGTTTTGGTTTAAGCCGGTTCCACACGATATGGTAAACATGTTCCAACGTTGGATACACGGACATTTGCCACATCGGGTAGGAGCAACACTAGCCGATTGCAATATTGTCGAAAACTGTTCCAAATGTTGGTTCCAACATTGGCACCAACGTTGCACGCATCGAGTATTACCGGCTTTATAGATTGGGCCTATTAATGAGCGAGGGTTTCTTGGTCTTGCGGTCTTGAAATTCATCTTGGACCAGGATCAGAACCCAGCATGCAAGACTTTTAAGATTTTCCAATTGGTTTCACTTTTTTTATTTACATCTCATTTTTCATAGATAATAATTGGGAAAATAAAGAAATTTTTATTTAATTATCCCTCCTGCCTATAATTCATTTATTAACAAATCATAAAAAAGGTTTCTCTGAAACGATTTCCACCGAATATGTGATTTATGGTAACAATAAGCCATATTCATATAAGAGCTTTTATGTCGAAACACGCAGAATATTGACGTATTATAGTTAAGGCCAACTCGTAGAGAAATCTCGAGAATTTAGCTCGCCTATGTTCTTGTGTTTTATAGACTACAAGAAGGCTTTCGATTGTGTGAGGTGGAAAAACCTCTAGAGGTTTCTGAACGAAATGGGAGTTCCGAATCATCTAGTGGCTCTTATTAACAATTTATATGACAATAATACTGCAATTGTCAACCTAGATAACAAAACGTCGGAACCTTTCAAACCTAGAAAAGGGGTACGCCAGGGCTGTATACTGACACTCACGTGAGTGTTTAATGCCTATGGCGAATACAACATGAGACGTGCTTTGGAGGGCGAGGAAGAAGGAATCCTAGTCAACGGTAAAATCCTAAACAACCTCAGGTACGCGGACGATACCACCCTGATAGCGAAAAGTGAAGAAGTAATGGCCCGGTTGCTGGAAAGAGTTACCATCGAAAGCAATAATCTTGGTCTAGAAGGTGATGCAGTTCGATTACACAACCTCCTCCCTAATATAGAAAGAGTAGATCAATTTATATACTTAGGGTCTTTAATAACAAATAATGGGGACTGTGAAGCAGAGATAAGAAGGCGTATAGCAATGGCACGGACGGATATGATAAGCCTAAGAAAATATGGGCAGATAGGAACATAACTAAAAACACCAAAAAGAGCCTTGTTCTATCTTTGGTGTTCTTCATATTCCTAACTAAGCTATTTTAAACATATATGTATGAAAATTTCGATGTGTTTCAAAATAAAAAGGAATGCCTTGACTACATGGAGACACCTCAATCTCCCAAAAATACGCGGTGAGGGATTTACAGGTGGTCGTTATAAAAACTACGCTTTGCGGTCAGTCCGAGGTAAATAAGGCAATCTACTGGGATACATTGCCCATCCACACCGTTTTGGAATCTGGACATAATGGTGTCTATTGTTCTATCTTTGGTGTTCTCCATATTCCTATACGGGTCTGAGTCATGGACCGTCAAGAGCGCTGATAGACACCGTATAGATGTGGTGCTAACTAACAAAAACAGGAAATAGCCATCAACAGTCAAACAGCACTAAAAGCGAACTTAAAGGAAGCCAACTTAAAGCGGAACTCAAGAACCTGTAAGGCTCCATCCGTAACCTGGAATGGGAATCATCCAACGGTTAATCGAGATACTAAAAAAAGTCTCTCAAAACTTAAGACCGACAAAACTCAAAGATTTTCTTTGATTTAAGTAAAAACAATCTTCGGATTGTCGCGGGGTTTGTAACAGGACACTGTCTGCTCAACGAATATATCAGTTGATTGAAGCAGAGAAACAATGGCAAACGCATATTCTGTAGGAAAAAGAGGGAAACACCAGCACACCTTATCACTGTGTGCGCCGAAACGACAACCCTTCGTGCAATAAACTTTGGTACGGCTGATCTCGGTGATGGAGAGCTGGCCTCTGTGGAGCCGTCTCAGATTCTGGCTTTTGTCAAGGCCCTGAGATTGTATGATGAGCTATAACTTGTTATAACTCAAGAAAGTGGGACACTCAATAGATCTTTAAGGTCGTGGTCATTAACCCTTTTCCTAAACATTCTACATTCTACAAAACCAAGAGCAAAAGTGGACCGTATAAGACCAAGGCCAGGAGTACTTATTGAACTGCAAGTCTAAGAAAAAGGGGGTCTTGGTTTTGGTCTTGCATTTGCTCATCACTATTCTCCAGTCCTAAGTTCCTTATTTCCTTCCTTTCATTGTTCTTATTTCAAGCCAAGTAAGTAAAAAAGGGTTTTAAAATATGTCGAAAAAGTATTTTCAAAGCATTATAATTATACTTTATGACATTCCTTTTCCATTTGACATTCCTTAAGAAAATTACGAATGCTGCATATTGAAATATTCCAATGAATTAAGAAATCACGCTGATAAATTTAGTCAACAATACTCTTCACGTTCAGCGTCACGCGTCGTACTGTTTATCTCATACCTATTTAAAAGATAACAGAAAACTATACCGTGATTTCTTATACTATACTAATACATTTGTAGGTTTAATATTTACAAAGATCAATTATTTATTTAATGATTAAGTAAGAGTATCGTAATAATTAAAAATTTGTTAAATTCCTTAAATTAAAGTGCTTATTAATATTTCACTGGTCATAAATATAAGCCATCATTTATTTTTTAGTTTTAAATTTTAAATTAATATTACTATTTTTTATAACTCAAATTAGAAGATACAAATAAACAAATTTATGTTTTTTTTTCTACACTATCTCAACTGCGGTATTTCTGATATAAGGGTATTAAAACATAACTTATCTTAGCTCTTTGAACGAATTCAAAAACAAACTGAACAAACATGGAAACATACTATAATAATCAATTTTTCGATTTGAACTTAATTTCTTAACCTAAAATTGATGCATGTTAAATTTATATGTATATGAATATAAGGTTACGTAATTATATTCTTATTTATTACTAGTTAGTTGATTAACTTTTAACTTAACGTAAACCGTCAAACAAACTTATAGTAATTAAGTAAAATATATATATCCAAACAATTTGTAAACTTACCTTCCAAGTACCTAGTCCAAAAATGGGGATTTCGAAGCCGGTATTTAATTTAACTTTTGGTACTTGCTTGGCCATTTTAATAAATAGATTTTATAACGATCACTAATAAAAATTATTTCAAAAATAGTACTCAAGTATCTTTATATTAGATTCCAATATGCTATCTCTCTCACATCTATCAGGAAACCAAATACTTATTATCTAAATATTGTAAATAATATAGTTCCACAGATTTAGTATTAGCCCACCAGTTATACATCTCCGTAACATAACGCATAGTTTCACCGTGGTACTACCCGAACTCGCAACTTAAATCAGTAAAGAACCACCGAAATCGACCAAAACGGCGTGTAAGTGCAATGAATGAAACTTTGCAACTGTTTGAATGAGTAAATGTTTTTTAGGTATAAAATTGACTGATGAAATTTGAAATAATGTTTGCATCATTTATATATTACTAGTAAAAACATTACTCTATAAGTTGTAGTATTGCATAAGCCAAAACAAGAATATAAAGAATCAAACATAATTAATAAAATATCATAACTGTTTCCCTCCAGAGTACCATCAAGTTTCAGCCGTGTACTTCTATATTAAAAAAACTGTAACTCATATAATATAATAGAATATAACTTTTAAATTATAAGTAAAATAAAATTCTACTTGAGTACTACTAAGTTTTAAAAAGGATATAATTCCTCAATCATAGAAATCCCATCTGAATAGTTTTTTCTTGATACCTTTCGATGAATTTGCCATCTAAATACATTTTTTACATATGTACCGGGTATTTTTGAAAAGTGGCTTACCATTTCAAAGTGGCTCACCATCAGTTCTCAAAAATTTTCATAAAAACTTTTTTTACCTTTTCAAATAAAAAAAAACGGAATTTGGTATATTTTTTACATAAATCGGGATTGACTAACGTATTTAATTACATTCCGACACTTCCTGTTTCACCGGAAATTTCTACAACTTTTGATTTTTAAACGGTACCCTCGGCAATTTTTTACTTTATATGATAAATGACATTTCGAATAGAATGATATATCATATATCAACTTTTTTGATTTTCAATTTAAAAAAATAGAACTTTATGCGAAAACATTTTGAGAAATATGCATTCTTTATAAAAAAAATTCTAAAATTATTGTTAATCTCATTTATACTTTTCTAGATTTTCTTATCGTTTGAGAAAATGAAGAAAAATGTGAAAATATGGTAGAATTTAATAAAAAAAATTAATATTTATGGGACACAGGACACATTATAAATTTTAATAACGCCAAAATTATAATGAAAGAAGCGATAGCCTCTAAAAGAAAAATAAAAGAGGTTTTTTTAATTCAATCTAATAAAAATAAATGTATTGCTCATGCATATGTAGATGTTCGTAATGTATGGTAATCCTTTCTTTGATTTTAAAGAACATATAACATAAATAAACATAACATACGTAAAATTTAAAAATAATCATTGTTGATCATTGGCAAAGTTTGGGGCTTTTTGGTTTTACCTTATTAAGTAATTGTTATCAGGTAGTAATTGTTAATTTTGAAGTTTAACTTGATATAATGTCATTTAAACAGAACGTCAACGATTTCTTGTTTGTAGAGGTATCTGTTTTAAAAAAGTAAAGTGTTCTCGAATAGTTGAATTTAAATATTTTAAATAGTTTTTTTCTTCATTCTTAGTATTTTTTTTTGCTTCCGACGACGGAAAGAGATAAACTTTTCGAAACGTTAAGCACTTTTTTTGTTAGGCCCAATTTGTATAAATAATTTTTTTGTAGAGATGAATCCGCCACATAGGTATGTAGTTATGATATGTCATTCTATTCAGAATTTCATTTTCTTTTAAATAATGTAAAAAAAGTAGGTACCATTTAAAAATTAAAAGTTGTAGTCAAGAAGCGACCGAAAATAATTGAATACGTCAATCAATCCTGATTTATGGCATATATTAATATACCGAATCTCAATATATTGTTTGAGGACATAAAAAAGTTATAGGGGCGAGCCACTTTTAAAAAACACCTAGTATATTTTTTTTGTAAATTATCGCCATGTCAATATGCATACTTTTTATATAAATCCAGGATAAACATTTCTTATTTTTGACAATCTTTATGGCACACAATAATAACATATTATTTATCTATTATATTAGTTTAATTTAATTTCCCACAGTCCATAATATTTTAAGTTTTCTTTTATCTTAAATTATTGCTATTTTTTTGACGGATCTAATAGAAATGTTAAGATATCTATTAAAAATAAACAAATATAGTAGCTCTGAAGCAAGAGCAAAATTGATTATAGTCAATTAAACAATAATTAAATTCTACAAATGTATCTCTTATTATTTTGCGGAAAATCTCCGTTCATTCACTTTAAAACTTTTAAATAGATGTAAATAAATAAATAAAATTCTAAACTACAACATATTTAAATATATAGTATGGAAAATTAGAATAAAATAAATCGAGAAATATCTTTAAAATAGTAGGTACTTTATCTTTAAATTTGCAAGCAATTGATGTGATCAGATCATTATTTTACATATTTGTTATAATTAGGAACTTTCATATAATTAGCTCTATTAATTTTGAGAGTTATTGAATAAGTACTTGCAGATCACCGAATAGGAATCAATGATCTACAATGATACTATAATATTATTACCCTCTATGTAGGATTTGACTTGAAAAAATCTATTTGTGTGTGTATAGTATTGAAAAAGTTCGGAGTGCCCAACACATTTCTTACAGTGTGTAAAAGCCTCCATAATAACAAGTCAAGAGGGTCACATTATGAATAATAACCGAGCGATCCGTTCCTAACTAATTAGTACAGGAGTTAAGCAGGGATGTATCTTAGCGTGTCTCCTATTCAACATATTCATGGCAACGCTCTCCATTATAGTGGACAGCAAACTGCAGGAAAGGAGAATGGGCATTAGACACAAAAACAACGGCGGTCTGTTACATAAAAAGACTTAGGATAGAAACACCTATAAAATTTTATCACAGAACTTCAATAAGCGGATGACTGCACTCTAGTTGCAAAAACGTTACAGCAATTACAAGAAATGTAGGCCTGGGCATACGAGGCTTTGGGCCTGAAGCTGAACATCGATAAAACTAAAATCATGTGCACTCCCCCGGTCACAACAATGCTATAAAAATTGGAGAAGAACTATTGGAATATGTTGCGGAATTGAATTACCTCGACAGTTTGATTTCGGAAATGGCCGACATCGACTGTGAAATTCGGCAAAGAATTAGGAGCGCCTCAAGAGCATACTGGCAATTAAAAGGCAGGGTTTTCTACAATCACGACTTGAGCACAAAAACGAAACTTGCAGGGTACCAAGGCCCAATATTGCCCACCATGTTATATGGAAGCGAAACAAGGGTGTCGTACCTCCGGCATATGAACGCACTATAGACCGAGAGCTGGCTACATAAAAAAAACTTATTATCGTTACATGGCTAATTTTTGTGTGAAGTATCCTTTTGTGTAGCTATTGTGAAATAGTCATGTCTGTCAGCGCGATCCCGGGGCTTAAAGCGGGGGCGGCCAATCGAAAGGGTGAAATTTAGGTACACGAGTTATAATTGCCAAATAGCTTTTATTTATTATTAGGAAACGTGTAAAATTGTTGACAGACATTTTTCTCGTGGCTGAAATGCCGGCAGCGAAAGAGGCATAGAATTTTGACAAAAGAAAATCATCGCATGTCGGTTGGTAGAATGTCATGTGTATTGTTAATTAATTTAAAAAGCCGTATGCAAAAGGGCAGCCAAAAAAATCGTTATTGAAATAATAAAAAAATATATTTATAATATAATCGTATATTATATGATTTATCTATACTTAAATGGATGAGGCGGCCAGCGTTTTCTGAATAAAGCGCTAAGAGTAATATCGCGCTTTTGACAACTGTCTGCAGCTGATTGAGCCACGATCTTTTTGTCCGCTCTTTTGCATACGGCTTTTAAAATAAATAAATATATTATATATTGACATTTCACCAATCGGCATGCAAATATGCCATAATTTTTGTCATTCTTCAAATTTAATTTTTTAATAATTTTTAAAATTTCATGCCTCTTTCGCGTTGTCTGTCGGCATTCTAGCGACTAGAAAAATGTCTGCCAAGAATTTTCCACGTTTCTTAATAATAAATAAAAGCTATTTTCGCAATTATAACTCATGTATCTTATAATATTTTTAGTGTCAAAATTTCACCCTTTCGATTGGCCGCCCCCGCTTTAAGCCCCGGGATCGCGCTGGCAGACATGACTATTTCATAATGGCTACACAAAAGGATACTTCACACAAAAAAATAGCCATGTAACGATGATAAGGTTTTTTATGTAGCCAGCTCTTAGACTACTAGGCAAGTTGCAACAGAGACAAACGACAACAAAAAAATACAGGGGCAACAAAGTAATGAGATTTTTGAATGGCCAGTCACAGAATACAGTCACAGAAAAGCTCATGAAATAATGCCTTGCGTAACCATCTTCTGTTGCGTGTCAAATACTCGTCAGCGAGTAATGACAATAAGTGAGTATATAAGCATTGTTGTAAATGGAAATTAAAGAAAAATAAAAAAACTACTCTACTAAAAACTGAAGTGTTCTTTAGAATTGTTATATGTAGATATTTTAAATAAATTTCCTTTGCTTGTGCTTTTTTTGCTTCTGATGATGGAAGGCGTTTATAGGGGTAGGAAAATTTGTCTTACTCTTAAAAAAACATCGACACGCTGGTTTCCGTTTCGATTTGAAGTTTAAAATGATCTATTATATTTTTTCCATAGAACCACAGTTTAAAGAATATACCAGGTGCGTCTCAAAAGTGGCTGAGCCTTATAACTTTTTTATTTTTTCAGATAAAAAAACGAGAATTGGTATGTTATTATATGACATAAATTAGGATTGTTTGACGTATTCAATTGTTTTTGGTCACTTCCTGTTTTACCGGAAATTACTGCAACTTTCGATTCTTAAATGACACCCTCGGTATTTTTTTACTTTATTCAATATAAAATGACATTCTGAATAGAATGACCTATCATAATATGTCAACTTTTGACATTCTCGCTTAATAAAATTTTTTATTTAAAATTCAATCTAGAGTGCCATGGCTATGTTAAAAACACTAATTCTTCATCAAGGAGCCTTGGAAAAATAGATTTGATCGTCTAATGTTTTTATTGTCTTGTCCTGGCCAATTAGAAAATGCTCAAATCGTATTTTTAATCATATCTCAATTTTTTCAAATGGAACGAGGGTGGCTCATTAGCACATTTGGAAAAAGTATTTTTTTACGAATAATCTGGTATAATATATATAATTTGGAATAGTTGGTATTCCGAGTCAAATTTTTGTTACGCACCGCGAGTTATAATTTCAAATAAGCCATATGCGAAAATGTCAAAAGTTAACATAATATGATATGTTATTCTATTCAGAGTGTTATTTTCTATTGACTAAAGTAAAAAAATACCGAGGGTGCCATTTAAAAATCAAAAGTTGTAGTCATATCCTGTAAAACAGGAAGTGACCAAAAACAATTGAATACGTCAATTAATCCTAATTTATGTCATATACTAACATACCAAATATCGATTTTTTAACTGAAAAATTAAAAAATTTATAGGGGTGAGCCACTTTTTAGACGCACCCGGTGTACTTAAAAACTGCAATAGAATCTTCAAATTCCAGCCGTGTACATCTTAAAAAATAGGAAGGCATATATCTCCTTTATACGAACATTTCAACCTAACTTGAATAAACTTAAAATAAAATTCCACTAGTGTGCTACCACGTACTATTAAGTTTTATAAAGGATGTAGAAGTTCCTCAATCATAGAAATCCCATCTGAATAGATTTTTTCTTTATACCTTTCGATGAATTTGTCATCTTAACCATAGACTTATTAAGTCTATGATCTAAACTCATTTTTTACATACCTATATGTACCGGGTGTTTTTCACCATTTTTTTCACCAAGTGGCTCACCATTTCAAAGTGCCTCACCAGCAGTAAAAACAGTTTTCAAAAAACTGTTTTTACTTTTTCAATAAAAAACTGGAATTTGGTATGTTAGTATTTGACATAAATCGGGATTGGCGTGACGTAGTGAATTACTTTTCGACACTTCCTGTTTCACCGGAAATGGCTACAACTTTTAATTTTTAAATGGTAAGTACCCTTGGCAATTTTTTTACTTTATATAATAGAAAATAACATTTCGAATAGAATTGCATAATATCACATATCAACTTTTATAATTTTTAATTAAAAAAATAGAATTTTAAATTTCAATCTAATGTGTATTTGGATTCAAAGTTTAAAAAGATATGTATTATATTTTGCAGATTTTGTTTTCAGTTGGTAAAAAACCAAGAATTAGTTTCAATAAATAACGAACCCGCTATAAAGGCATAGTTCATATTATTTGCCAAGTTATAATATATACATAGCTTTATTGCTTATACTCAAATAAAAACCTTTAACAATTCATTAAATAGTGCTAATTTTATTTCGTTTAATTACTCATATCCATTTTTATGTTAATTTTAGAATATAACAGGAGCATTTTACCTATTTTATTCTGTATAGTTCGGTATTTCCATTGCAATTTTTATATGGTCCGTCCGACGAGAGAATATATGATTTTCACGGGCGATGTCTAAACATGACAGAGAAAAAAAGTAACCAGAGAATTCACGCACATCTCATATATTCACTCGCTGTATAGACTATACATAAAACATTCTAATCTAGACTTAACTAATTATAAATAAGTTTGTTTATTAATAAATCTGTTTCAAAATGCAACGCCTCGGAAAGGATATTCGTTACTCTCCTTTAATTCTTCTGCATGGCAAATTCTAGTATTGGTATTGTAGCAGTCCAAGACGCACATATCTCCTGGAGTTAACTCAAAGTCGAAGATTTGTATGTTAGCGGCAATGCGATCTAGATTAGACGATTTTGGTATGGGAATAGTTCCAATTTGAATAAGATACCTGCAAAAATTATATCATTAAACCCTGTCTACTGAAAAATTAATCAAAATGATTTTTTTTTAAATCTAAACTATACACAGGGTGGTCTAGTTTCGGAGATACAGAGTGTAGAAGTTTCATTTTTATTTCGATTTTTTCCAAATAATTTCTGTAGGAACGTCAATATTTGGATGAAAATTGTTGTCTGGGAGTTTTTTGACATGAGAAATTTGATTTAGATGTCAATGTGACTCCTATTTGTAGAGGGCGCCACCTACATATTTTTAACTGGTTTGAAGAGTAATAGCTTTTCGTCCGTTCCTGTATAAAACTACTGAGTAAAAAAATATACATTTACGATGTTTTTTTTTACGTAAAAACGGTCTCTTGGTAAAAATCGCTACGAGTAAAATATCAATAACTGCCATCATTGACATTAATAATTAATAACACATGTTGACTAAATAGTTATTAGACAGTATTCATAAATTTGAAATGTTTTTGTGCTAAAAGTTCAACAGAAACTGTTTTATCGTCATTTTTTGGAAGAAAAAATTATCATTAATTTAAAAAAATAAAATGTTCCCAAATTGATCATTTCAGTCGAATAACTACTAAACATGTTTATTTTTTGTCAATAATGACATTCCAAATTAAAACACATGTAGGTGGCGCCCCTTATAACTAGGATATATTTTGACATCAAAATCAAATTTCTCATGTCAAAAAACTTTTAGGCACCAATTTTCATCAAAATATTGACGTTACCTCAAAAATTATATTGAAAAAATGGAAATAAAACTTCTACACCATGTACCTCCCAAACTAAGCATTTTAGAACACACATTTATACGAACTGTTTTACTTACATTATCTGCAGAATATGCTGCCGGAATAATACCTAACCGAACTGTATTCCGGAAACTTCGGCAGCATATTCTACAGATAAAAATAAGTAAAAATGTCCTAAATTCTTTGTGTCGGAGATATAGGGTGTAGAAGTTTTATTTTTATTTCAATTTTTTCCAAATAATTTCTGAAGTAACGTTAATATTTGGATGAAAATTAGTGTCTGGGAGTTTTTTGACATGAGAATTTTGATTTTGGCGTCAATATGACTCCTATTTATAGGAGGCGCCACCTATATGCGTTTTAACTGTTTTGAAAAGTAATAATTTTTCGTCCCCACCTGTATAAAGCTACTTAATGAAAAAATATACATTTCCGTGACTTTTTACGTAAAAAATTGGTAAAATTACTCTTGGTAAAAATCGCTACGAGCAACCGTTCTCAAGATATTTAGAATGGAAATAGTCATATTGACGAAAAAAATGTCATTATTGACGAAAAATAAACACGTTGAGTAGATAGTTATTTGACTGAAATTTTAATTTTTTTTAAATATAAATTTTTGTGCGAAAAAATGATGATAAAACAGTTTCTGTTGAACCTTTGACACAAAAACATTTCAAATTTATGATTTCAGTCTAATAACTATTTAGTCGACATGTTTAATTTATGTTAATAAAGACAGGTATTGATAATTTCGATTCCAAATATCTCGAGAATCATTACTCGTAGCTATTTTTACCAAGAGACCTTATTTGCGTAAAAAGAGTCGTGAATGTATATTTTTTTACTCAATAATTTTATACAGATACGGACGAAAAGTTATTGCTCTTCAAACTAGTTAAAAAATATGTAGGTGGCGCCCTCTACAAGTAGGAGTCATTTTGACATCAAACTCAAATTTCTCATGTCAAAAAACGCCCAGACCCCAATTTTCATCCAAATATTGACGTTAGTTCATAAATTATTTGGAAAAAACCGAAATAAAAATCAAACTTCTACACCCTGTATCTCCGAAACTAAGCATTTTAGGATATACTTTTATATGAACTTTTTTAATTATTTTTATCTGCAGAATATGCTGCTGAAGTTTCCAGAATACAGTTCGGACCACCCTGTATTTTTTTGTGTCTTTACTGAGCTTATTTTATGTTATTATTTATTCTACCATCGGCTTTGTTTAGGGATAGTGAATAGAAGAAAATTGTATTCAAAAAATCCTTTATGGGTATTTCACGCCACTAAAAAAAAATTATTACTGTAAACACAACTTCTGACAAGCAGCATCCGTTTAGGTTTAACGCAGAAGTGTTTACAAAAAATAACTATTTTATTTGTAGATTTTTCTTGCAGTGCAGTGGCGAAATACCCATAAAGGATTTTTTGAATAGATGAATCCGCCACATAGGTATAGACATTTTTTAAGAAAATTGTATCAGAACTTAAATTTGTAAAATTAACTGCGATTTACTAAAAAAGAATGATGTGAAATAGTTAGTTGCACAGCATGAGATAGAGATAGATATCGGTCAAAAATCGAGGGAAATAATGGAATAACTTTTCACTGGTAAATGACTATAAAGCGTGGTCCAAACTGTATCCCGGAAACTGCAGCAGCATATTCTGCACATAAAAATAAGTAAAAAGGTTCGTGTAAACTTATGTCGTAAAATACATCGTTTCAGATATACAGGGTGTAGAAGTTTTATTTTTATTTAGATTTTTTCTAAATAATTTTTGAACTAATGTCGATATTTGAATGAAAATTGGTATCTGAGGGTTTTTTAACATGAGAAATTTGATTTCGATGTCAATATGACACCTATACTTGTAGGGGCCACCTACATGTTTTTTTCTGTTTTGAAGAGTAATACCTTTTCGTCCGTCCCTGTATTATACTACTCAGTAAAAAATATACATTTATACCTTATTTTACGTAAAAAATGCCTTTTGGTAAAAATCGCTGAGAGCAACCGCAATCGGATTCTTAATAATCAATACATGATATCAATGACAAAAATTAAACATGGACAGTTATTTAAGTAAATTAATAATTTTCAAAATAGCAAATGATCATCTGACATTTAACTTTTTCCATTAATTTTATACTTCAAAATTTGCGAGTAATGATATTTCAACATTTGACAGTCAAGAGAAATTGCAGTTATAAATCAAAAGTTTATTGTTTTATAAGCTAATTATAAGGCTTTCTTTATGGATACAACTGACTACTGCAAACTTTTGCTAGGATAATTTATTCATTTTAATTGTATTTTTAGACCTTGTGAATGATAGTAAATATTTAAGCACAAAGCGTAATTAATTGAAACCTCTAATTTAATCTACTAATTTCGAGGTTCTGAATGAGGCTTAATACATGAAATTTGACATAGGACGGTATTTCTGTTTTTTAAAAAGGTTCGGTTTTCTTTATATACTTAGCACAATAGCAACAACCACCATACTTGAAATATTTACCTCATTTTTCGGTAGTATTCATGATACTAAATAAGATAAATCATATAAGGGCGGTCTTTCTGACGCCAATTGCCTATACCACCGGCGGTAATTTAGCTTTTTGTTAATAAAAATGCATTTACTATTAGTACTTTGATGTACCTACAATTTAATAGTAAATATTTGAGTTTAGGGAGGACAACTGAGACCAAAGAACAGTATTTTTTCCATTCTCTGTCAGGTCACCTTGACTTGAGGTATATCAATGTAACACAGTCTCGAGATGACATTATGAACCCTTTATGGGCTTAATCTCGATTCGCCAACAAACAACTTAATTAGAGAAAAATGATAATCATGTTTATTGCAACTTTTATTATTTTTATTTACCTATCTGTCTTTAATGGGGGTCTCGATCGTAAATTAATTTTTTATCGTGCAGTTCCATAACTGTATAGTTTATTATATTTATCGTTAATACCAGGAAAATGATAAAAATATAATAATTAGTATTTTTTAAAATATACACATCTCCCTATATTACATTTTTAATTAAATAAAATTTGAAGAATCTAGTAGCTGATTATTATGTGCATATCGCCACTTATTTTTGATATCCCTTAAATTGGGATAACTTTGCTGCGATTTTTAGTGTTTTGCGTTGATGTAATCCTTGTTATATGAAATATTTAAACCTAAACAGTCTATTTTAACCTCTTTATTTTAACATAAAAATTAGCCATAATATGAAATCAATATCTAAGCAGTACTAAAGAATATTTTAGGCAGTACTTTAGTTATTGCACTTTAAAGTTGTACTAAAGCAACCCCGTCTGTTGGGGTAACTTTGGGACAGATAAATTTTAAACGTAAATAGGCCGTAAAGAAGCATTTTAAAGAAGGATACATAGCTATATATTTATAAATGAAGCTAAAAAAATTTGCGAAAATATGTTTTCGTAACATTAGGGCAGTAGATGTATGTTTCTTTTAAAAACTGAATAAGAAAACAAGATTTTTTTACTAAAGAACTAACAAATACAGATATAGCAAATAGATTAGTTTCACAGATTCTAATGATTAATCTATCATAAAAATAATAATATTTCCTAGATAGGTACGCGTCTGCAAAGAAAGTTTTCGACTTATGGTCTAAAATATTGCAACAAAAAATATATTATTCTGAAATAAAAAGGTCAATGTATGTGCACCCTAATTTTAGGGATCCAATAACTCCATGAAAAATATTCTTGTTTCCTCTTTTAATATCTTGTAATTCCGTGATCTGGGTAAAGGCCGATATTTACGAGACATATTTGTTTAACTAAACGGTCTCCAGCCCAGTTTGAGTACATATCAATCGCAAAACCTCTAACAAGGGGTAGGGGACTCAAAGAAAAGATTGTGAGGTTTTGAGTCCCCTACCCCTTGTTAGAGGTTTTGCGACATATTTGTTTTCTAAAAAACATCCTGTTACTGACATTAGGTATACTTTTGCTTAGCACTAGCCTTAAGAGTCTATTACGCCGAAGTGGCCGAATTATGGCCGAAGGAAATATACGTATGTTTCAAAAATCTGCCTAAGGCTCAGCCCGATCCTGTCGTGTTAAACCACACGTGAGGATTAATGTTTGCAGAGCTTCAGCATTTGCCAGAAAATAGCGAGCTATTTATTACAAAACCATATAAATTATATATCACTATAATCACAAAACTTCAATCTATTTCCGTATTGTAACGGAATTTTAAATTATTTCTTTATTTTCGAGAAAATTTGGTCCAAACATAAGAAATATTTTGTTGATGATTGGCCCTCAAAATCTTAAAAATAAAGAAGTTATCTAAAAATGTGCTACAATACGTGAGATATACAGGGTGGGCCACTGAAAACTTACAATGGCTATAATTTTTAAACCAAAAAAGATATCAAAAAAATAAAAAATACCGTTTCTATAATATCGAGGGGGAATACATATGACGTATTTTTTGAACCACCCTGACCTACCCCTTAGGCAGCACCCCTACTCACTTGAAAATCTTAAATCGCAACACCCCACTTGTGGCGCCTTTTTGGAAAGCCCCTGAAAGCCCTTAGGTGGACATTAATGAAAAAAGTGATGTTTCAGTATAAGTTACAAATTGGGACCCAGCTAAATGAGGCAACTGAGGTATTTTTCAAACCACCACAATAGGAGTGCATTTTCAATACTCTTCTGACAGATGTTTATGACGAGGTATACCTGTGATTGATGCCAACTGGCGTGTTGATGCTTCTGGATTGACCGATACCTGACCAATAACTTCCATCTGCATTTCTTCATTCAGTATCCTGGGCCCTGTCCTTTATTATTTTTAACCGATCCAGTTTCTTAAAACTTTAGAATCACATCTCAAACATAAACGTAACAGAACCGTTTCCAAATAGCACATACCTTCAGCACCATAAAGAAAAACTATTTGAATTCTTTCTTCCACAGTATAAACAAGTTTTCTTTGAAATAAGCGAATCAAATAAAGGTTTAAAATAACACCAAATTTGGAAACGATTGAAAATCGATAGAAGAGAGTGCAAAAACGCAAAGATTTTTTAAGAAAACGTTTTAAGATTCCTGTTTGTTGAAAGTAAAAAAAAACAGATGATAAGGAAGAATTTGCGTTATCGCAAAATTAGGCTGAACGATTAGTAAAACATCTTTGTGTTGCCTTTTTTATTATCATTCATTATCAAAATTACATTTTTTATTTTTAGCTTCAAAATGGCAATGGTTTCAAAATGGCATTGATGAGATTAGAAGTGAGTGGGTGGCACCTAGGGGTGGGTCGGGGTGGTTTGAAAAATACCTCATTTGACTAATTTAGCTCGGTCCCAAAATCACTTTTTTCATTAATGTCCACCTAATTTTTCGTGTAAGGGGTAGTTTTTCAATTTCACCCTAAAAACTTTATGATCATCGTTTAGCATTTTTAATGGGCTAGTCCAAAGTCTATACCGTTACGAGTTGTTGAGGGCTGAGCCGTTTAATCTTTTTTTCTCCTTTTTTATACATTTCCCTCACTATTTCTTTCTCTTCTATAGAATATATATATATATATATATATAATATATTATTATTATTATTATTATTTACACAATAGAAAGCGGTATAAAAATACCGATGAGTCTACTGTCTTTTTATGTTGCGCGTAATTTTTTCGAGTTTACTGGCCGTAATGCAAATGTACAGAACTCAAGGTATTCATTTCTTGATCAATTTTGTTTTTAAATGAGTTGAGAGTTGGTACTGAAACACTTTCTTCTGACAGCGAGTTCCACGGGTACACTATGCGGTTAGTCAAAAAATTTTTTCGCTGGAGTTTGGACGATCTTTCCTTTTCCAGGCGTCTGCTGTGGCCTCTAAGTTGTGGAGTTTGGCAAGGATGGTATATATTTAATGGGCAAGTGTAGAAACAATTTAGAATTTTGTAAGTCTCTATCAAGTCCCCCCGCAAACGCCTCTGTTTTAATGTGGTGAGATTTAACATCGCAAGACGATCTTCATACTCTAGATCCTTAAGTTCATGGGGCATTTTTGTCACCTTGCGTTGAATTTTCTCGATGAGATCAATATCCTTCTGAAAATAGGGACTCCATATTATTTGACCATATTCTATTTTGGGTCTAATGTAGGACTTGTATATCTTTAAAATAAGATCAATAGAGCGGTCTTGAAATGCTCTTTGAATGAAATAAAGAAGAGAATTTGCTTTTTTAGTAATCTTTGATATATGCACATACCATTTTAGGTTTCCAGTAACTGTAATCCCTAGATCTTCCTGTTGTTCTACATGTCTTAGACTTAATTCATTTAGGGTGTAGGTTTTGTGCGTACAATTCATTCCAATGCTAAGAACAGTGCATTTGTCCTCATTCAGTTTCATTCTCCATTGTTTGGCCCAGGATTCCACCAACCTTAGATCATGCTGAAGATTGACGTAGCTCGTTTCGGGATTTGCATATAACTTTGTATCATCCGCAAAAAATATGATATTCGTTTTTATGCCTCTTGCCAGATCGCTGATATACAGGAGGAACAACAGTGGGCCCAACACAGAGCCTTGAGGACACCGCTGGTCACTTTGTGTTTAGTTGAAAGAGATCCGTTTATTCTGACTTGGAAGTAGCGTCGGGTTAGGAAGTTTGATATAAGTTTGAATAAATTCCCTCTTATGCCGTAGTGGTTTAGTTTATAAAGAAGCATCTGGTGGGGTACTTTATCAAATGCCTTTTCAAAGTCAAGATAGATGACGTCTGTTTGTTGGTTTCTATCAAAGGCTGCTGTCCAATCGCTAAGACAAGATGTCATGTTCGTTATTGTGGATCGACCAGGAAGAAATCCATGCTGTGTGCTGGGTAAGACATCTTTTTCCATTAGGTATGGAGTAAGTGTGCGGATGATTACTTTTTCCATGCATTTACAGATGCAGCTAGTTAGACTAATTGGTCGGTAATATATATATATATATATATATATATATATATATATATATATATATATATATATATATATATATATATATATATATATATATATATATATATATATATATATATATATATATATATATATATATATATATATATATATATATATATATATATATATATATATATATATATATATATATATATATATATATATATATATATATATATATATATATATATATATATATATATATATATATATATATATATATATATATATATATATATATATATATATATATATATATATATATATATATATATATATATATATATATATATATATATATATATATATATATATATATATATATATATATATATATATATATATATATATATATATATAACACTCTCTAGATCAGACAGGAAGGACTCGAAGGACCCCATGTTTATATGTATATGAACCTTTTTTCTTAAAAACTGACGAGGAATCACACCCTGAGACGAGTTAGTAACCGTCCTGTATATTTTTTAAACAAAACTCCTAAAAAAATCAAAATTCTTACTTAAGTATTATTTGTGCGGTTGTCTTTCCATATTTTTTTCCAATATCTACAAGTTTCGGATCTTCAAGATCTAAGGAAGCTTCGCCGGGCTTTTTCCACGGTCTTGCTGGAGATCCCAAAGGACTATAAGCTGTTATATGGATGCCTCGGTCCCGACAAAATGCGATTAGATTTTTTTGGGTCAAACTCGGGTTTACTTCAATCTAAAATCACAAAATAATACAAAATATAAGTGGCAGAACAAAAATATCACAAACTATCTAAACTGAATTCAAAACATAAAAGTACAGGATCCGGCTGTACGATTATTGTGAAACACCCAGTATATTATTTCCATATTCAATGGGGAATTCGTGTATCTTCAAAATACTATTAAGCTTGCCTACCCCTCAAACCAAGATTTTCCTAGATATTTTCATTTTTATGATTTAGTGTCAGTAGATCGTTACTATTGGATAAAATCTAGGTGGCTATGATACGTCTGACGTTACTTCAACATAGCTGTGATATTAGTTCAACTTCATTTTTCACAAAATATTTTTCACATTTCATTTTCACAAAATGTGAAATATGTCCTTACAATTTAGGCATATGCTTCTTTCATGAATCTCATCTTTATTATTTTTTTGTAGTATCCGAAAATCAATTTAATATATAGGACGAGGGGTGTCTCACTTGGGTAAAAAATGTACATGTACTGCCAAAATATCATCTTACTACCAAACGACTGCCAATCACAGCGAAGAAGACTGCCTATGACTGCCATGTAATTATTATAGATGACTGCCGTAAGACTGCCAATGACTGCCAGCGACTGCCAAGAAAATATACATGTAATTCCGGTAGTGAGACACCCCTCGATATAGGGTGTTCCATTACAAAAAACCCAACTTTGATGCGTAACTTTTTTGGGGACACCCTGTAAGACTCTATGCTATAGACAATGCTTTCAATTATTTACCTACATATGCTCCCAAAATTTCATTTCGATATAAACCCCCGTTCCCCTTGGAGCCTCCGCGTCGCCGTTGTATGGGAGTCGCCACCCTGTACAACTTTAGTTTGAAAATGTGTTTGAATCACCTGACAAAAATATTTTCAAAATGTGCGTTACCATTACCCCCAAATTATTTAAAAAAATAAAATGAAAATCAAAATCCTATTATACAGGTTGCCGCCTCTCATACGCCGCGGGGGCTCCAAGGAGAACGACAGTTTGTATTGAAATGAAATTTTGTGAGCATAATAATATATAGGTTAATTCAGAGCACTTTTTAAAAATATAAGTTTTACAGGGTGTCTCCAAAAAAAAGTTACATATCAAAGTTGTGTTTTTTGTAATGGAACACCCCATATATTAATTGATTTTCGGATTCTGGGAGAAAAATAAAGGTGAGTTTTAAAGAGAAGTATATGACTAAAATCTAAGGTTTTTGACATATTTAACAATTTCTAAAAATGAAGAACAAATTTAAAATTTCAATAAATGCTACCTAAATTATAATTTACCTAGTATAGCGCATTATATAGTTAAAATAACTATTGTGCTTTTAATCAAGATTTTTGACATATTTAAATATTTTCTAGAAATAAAGAACAATTTTTAAATTACAATAAAAGCTACCTAAATTGGAATCTACCAGGTATAATAGCCTAATATCTAGTTAAATTAACTATTCTACTTTAAATTAAATTAAAACTTGATCTAAAGAGTTATACAGGGTGAGACAATATTAATATTGAACATATGTCACCTTTAAAAGCATGTTACTCTCTTATTTAAAATGAAACACCCAGTATATTATTCCGATATTCAATGGAGAATTCATGTCTCTTCAAAATACTATTAAGGTTGCCTACCCCTCAAACAAAGATTTTTCTAGATATTTTCATTTACGTGATGTGATCTGAGTAGATCTCTATTATACGATAAAATCTAGGGTGGCTGTGATATGTCCTAAGGATATGTCTGACGTTACTTCAACATAGTTGTCTAATTAGTCCAACTTTAACAACTAGTTATCATTTTGTGTCAGTTAAAACAAAAAACATTCTCAGAAATTTGCTGAGAATGCAAACTTATCCTAGATCAGACAAAATTGATATGATTCTTTTAGTTGGTGAATGCAGTGTGCATTCACCAACTAAAGAATACTTGAATGCTCCTAATTTTATCTAGTCTGTTTTTTTGATAGGGATATGTTAAAGACAGTTCTTACAAAACTCGACCATTACTATTGTAGCTGCTTTTCGAGGTAGAACTCAACATAATGCCTTTTAAAATGAAAAGATCCTTTAGAAAATACAACCATTTTATGCAGTTAACAGGAAAGGAAGCATTTTGAGCATTTGATTTCATCTAGCTAATTTTTGTTGCATAATTATAGGTTTATATTTAGTTTTAATTCTGTACTGTAATAATTAGAATACTTTTAAACGTGTATCTTTTTATTATCCTTGATTATTTTACTCTTCAATCTTTATTTTTTGTTAAATTAACCAAAGGTATATTACACAGTCAGCTAGATTTCTTCAAATAATAAATATTTACTGACGCAAAATCATAAAAATTAAAATATCTGAGAAAATCTTTGTCTGAGGGGTAGGCAACCTTAATAATATTTTGAAGACGTATAAATTCCCCATTGAACACCGGAAAGATATACTGGATGTTCCATTTAAAATAAAGGAATAACTTGATGTTCCATATTAATTTTGTCTCACCCTGTATAACTTTTCAGGTCAAATTTTAATTTGGTTTAACATACAATGGTTACTGCAATTAAATATCAGGCTATACAAGGTGAACTAAAATTTAGGTAGCTGTTATCGAAATTTAAAATTTACTCTTCATTTTCACAAAATGTGAAATATGTCAAAATCCTTAGATTTTAGGTGTATGCTTCTTTAATAAAACTCATCTTTATTTATTTCCTAGAATCCGAAAATCAATTAATATATAAGGTGTTCTATTAGAAAAAATACAACTTTGATGTGTACATTTTTTTGGGGACACCCCGTATAATTCTATATATTTTTAAAATGCTTTCAGTTAAGCTACATACGCTGCCAAAATATCATTTCGATATAAACTACCGTTCTCCTTGGAGCTTCCGCGGCGTATGAGAGGCGCCACCCTGTAGAGCTTTTTCGGCCAGGGTCACCCTGTATCTTTAAAAATTTTAATATACCTGGTTCATAACGGGTTTAATCCTTGCTTTGTCAACAATTCGCTGTACTTGTTTACTATTAAAATTTGACAAACCGATGCTCTTAGTTAAACCTAAATCCACACATTCCTCCATTCCTTTCCAGGTTTCACAAAAGTCGTGATCATAGTAAACAGCATCCTAGAAAAAGATGAAAATATATGCAATTAAAAAAAAAGTATCATACCTTGAAAGGCAAATGGAAATCAATAGGTCCTGTATTTTTACACGCTACTGGCCAATGGACTAAATAGAGGTCAAGATAATCCAAACCTAGGTTTTCTAATGACGTCTTAATAGCGGGAACTACATCTTGTATTTCGTGAAAAGTATTCCATAATTTCGTTACTATGAATAGATCTTCACGCTTGACGATCCCTATTGATAAAAAATAAATATTTTCTTTTATCATGCAACCCTTACAGTAAAAATTATTATTTTAGATATTATTTGTAGAGTGGAAATACCAAAGGGGGTAAATGCTAAATTTTTCAATATTAAGTTATTGCATTAGAAACGTAATAAATACCATGCTGCATGTGTTAACAAAAATTACAAGTGCCCAGCAAAAGCGTCTATTTTTTTATGTATATCATTTGTATTTTAAAAGAAATTTTAAAAAATTATTAGGTTCAATTCTACTGTGTTTTTCTCATCTATCTCGAATAAATTATTTTGGCACTTACCCCCTTTGGTATTTCCACTCTTCATTTTACATATAGATCATAGATATTATTATACATTTTAAACATATGTATACCAGCATTTAAAGTTGGTAGGTAACAACAAACCGTATGATCTTAAAACGATGTGAACTGGTAAACGATGTGATATGATCTTAAAAAGAAATAATTAACAATTATTTTTTTCTGTATTTTTAATATTAAAGAAATTTTGACTGTTAATTCTCATTGTTATTTAAAAAAAAATATATTTTCATTGTATATAAAAAAAACATCATTAATTTATTAATATTTATTATTTTTATGTGAATTTAATTCACATTTGAGTGTGATTTATAAATTTAAATGGTCCTTCACCATTTTATCAAGAATAGTATTTTCAAAAACGTACATTGAAATGCAGGTAGGTACATTTTCTTGTAAATTTTGTTTGTTTGTATATTATTATTTACTTATTGCTTATTTGACATACAAGAGGGTAAAAATACGTAATATGAAATAGTAGTATTAAGCAAATAGCTACATTTAGATAATTGGAATGATTAAAACTAATTATTTAAAATGCCCTTCAAATAAATGTTTTAGTACTGGTCTTCAAGGACTCTCAATGAACTTAGAGAAAAAATCAAATTTAAGCATAATTCTTATCTAATATTGTTATTCTTCGTCAAAACATAACTAAACTAAACTGAACAGTAAAGCCTATCCAAGATTTTGACGGACAGACTTTTTAAAAAAAGACAGAGAATAGATCTCATTGTCACTGTCAATCCACTCGTTGGACAGACAGACTATTAGTTTCAGACAATGGTATCTTACAAAAAATAACTTTTATTTACAACCACATATGTAATACTGACATTACCGACTTTTAAAAAATTTGAAAGTGTCAAATTATCTACATTTCTTCCCTCTTCCATTTCCCTCACCCATTGCCCTCATCCATTTCCCCCATCCATTTCCCCCACCCATTTCCATCACTCGGTTTTTTTTATTTTTCGCCTCATTTAATTAACCAAAATATTCTTTTAATATTTTTATTAAATACTTATCCAATATCAACAAAAATAAACAACATTAACAATAATAATTGAAGATTTTAATACATTTATTTGTTGAAGGTAAAAATGCTAGACTTCTTTGGCTTAAAACCTACATTCTGGCATTTTAATAAAAAATCGGTAAAAAAACTTTTAAGTTAAACGGTTTTATCTTATGTGCACTGAAAACTAGAAAATAATAATAACAATTAGGTATTTTGAACTTCTAGTTCAGAAATAATTTTGTACTAGACAGAATAGCTTTTAGGCATATTAGACTAAAATAAAAACGTGGGGCCCATTAACTATTGCTGTAATACTTTCTTCTATACTAAGTGTGGATTGCATCGACTTACTATAATCGTAACTGCAGATTTTGATAATCAATAATCAGCCGTGGCGGCTTCACCAGCGAACGCCGAGCTCATGATCTACCAAAGTATAAAGATATGCTTTGCCATAGGTAGGATTTCAGAGGGGCCCCACTTTTTATTTTAGTCTAATATGCCTAAAAGCTATTCTGCCTAGTACTAAAATATTTCTGAACTAGAAGTTCAAAATACCTAATTGTTATTATTATTTTCTAGTTTTCAGTGCACATAAGATAAAACCGTTTAACTTACCGATTTTTTATTTTGTTTGTTTTTTTATTTATTGTTTCCATGTTGTTTCCATGTAATTCTTGAGGGGAAAACGCTTGCGACATTACATTTTTAGCCACCCTAATGCCATACAGTCCTCAGCACGTTTTCACCTATTACCTTAACTTGGGTGGTAAAGCTACCGCTAACTACGTAGGTACATCTAATCACCTATTTTTTTTATCTGTCCTTCTAACGTCACACAATCTTGGACACAACTGTTCTGGACACGACTACTCACGCCCTCACCTAGTACGCCATTTTGTAACGACGTCCATCTTGGATTTTAAATTTTGTCATAATCACAGTATTCTACTAGTGTAGCCCTTTCATTTCATACCCATATTGGGGGGGTTGTGGGAAAATATGAAATCCGCCATTTTGTACCGGCGGCCATCTTAGATTTACAATGTTATTGATATTACTATATTGTATTGTCATCGGAACTAAAGGTGTGTACCAAATTTCAGATCAATCTGACAACAGGAAGGTACTTAAATTTCAATTTCTAATTTTGACCCAAATAAACAAACAAATAAATACCGTACGGGTCGAGCTAAATAAAACCGTTTAAAAAAGCGACGAGTTTGTGATATTTTGATGTCATCAGTCTTTTCCCTTAATTCTAGCATTGTCCGTATCATGCTGTACGTAGCCCAAAGAGTAGATGGCTTTTCCTGCCTTGCCATGTCGCTAAAATATGCCATCAAGACTGTCTCCGAAGCAATATTCTTAGCATTTTTTTTCGGCACACCATTTTTCGTATACTTTCAATGCTATTTCATATCGCCCACTACTTTTCTCTGGAAGTAAACTGGCTTCTGCTCTTTTTGCAGCTTCTGTAAGTTCTGGTGGAGTACTAATATTAAAGCAGTCTTCATTATCAGAACTTTCCGACAACATTCTGGCTTTCTATGATATATAAATTCGAAAAAGCGAACGAGAAACTCAAAACTGTCACTTAGTTGTTTATTTTGCTGTTAAAGGTTTGCGCCATAACAACCACTGGTGCCGGTAACTATAGATATGGAAATGCCAAAACAGAAAACGACACATTTTCGCATATTTATTAGCCGACCATACTAATAGATATGGTAGGCTATTAAGATCGGCAAAAAAAAGTTTCTTTAATTTCACTCAAAATGAGTTATTTGGGTCATAAATGACCTAAATACAAAATATTTTCATGGTGTCTGTCTGTCCATCTGTAACACGATAACTCAAAATCCGCTAAACCGATTTTAACCAAATTTGCCACCAAAATACTGTGGCACCCGAGACTCTGGCTATTAGTTTTTGGTGGGTGGTGATAAGGGGTATGGGAGGGGGTTAAAAATTTTAAAAAATCGTAACTCCAAAATTACAGTAGCTAGCGAAACGCGGTTTTGAATTTAAGATTAGGAATAATATTTGCAACAAAATTTGTAATAACATCAAAATCAGTCAAAGTCGCAGTTTTTGAGATCATTTATTATTAACATATCTTAGTATGGGCGGCTATAGGTGCCTCCCTGCTCCAATTTTTTTTTCCAAAATAAAATACTGTCCCTATTTTTTAATTAATGATGTGGTTGTAAATAAAATGGTATAAAAACCTCGGAGGAAAGTATTCATTATTGTCCCGAGAATTAATAGTTAATCTCTCGTCAGTAATGAAACACTTCCCTCCTCGGTATTTAATATACTATTTAATTTTTGGGATTTCAATTTCAATAGTGTAGTACAAAGATATACAGGGTGAGTCTCTATGGACACCGAATATTAACATTATGTTTATTATGGAGTATCTCGAAAACTACTGCAGCTAGAGAGTCGGTCAAATTGGGAAAGATAGGAATAATTGCAATTTTGTGAGGTCAAATATATGCGCCTTTCGGATTTTTGAAAAAGTTTATGATTTACTAGATAGTGCAAGTAAAACAAATTTCGGCTATTTTAAAAACGTTCTCTAATTCCATTATAATCTGTTATAGACAACATGTTTTCGGATAAAAGCTGTAGATAATCACATCCTTAATGAGATTGTGTCCCCAGCAATACCGTACAACATTGTATGATCGAAACAATTCCTATTATGAAAACCTGACCATGGCCCTCTTCCCTCGAGTTGATGACTCGCCAACACGATGTCCTTACTTTGAAGTTCTGACAAATCTGGTGATACACCGCAAAGGTTAGTTGATCCACTTCTACTGAGCCCCGTATGAGGAAGTAAGGGAGACAAGAATAAAATGGGTTGCCTCTTAGTGCCCCAAGGTTGTGATCAGTAAAGGCTAGTCTTATCTAGCCACGCATCCCTTTGACCTGGTCTCACCATCATAGGATTTAGATTTTTGGTGAGGTTGTCTCCTATTGATCCTGGCGGTTAAGCCAAGACACCTATATCCTCTGCCCGTGATACATGACCACAAACAGCAGACATCTAGTATGACGGACAGGGTAGTTCAAACCGGCAACGTTATACATCTTGGTGCAATTCCTTTGCCACGACACTATAGCCAGAGACAAGACAGTGAGATGATCCTTGACCCAGTCAAAACTTCTAGAACCTGACTAGGAAATTCCCCACGAACGAGGTCTCGCATCTCCTAGAGGAAGTTTCCATGGGATAGTTTCCATGGGTAACTGAGTGAAACTGTTTAAAAAAGATAACAATTAGCTATTAGCCAATTATATAGTTACTGAAAAATAACCAGTTATATAGTTACTGATGAGATATTCATCTGTTCGAGATATCTCTACAAAATTTAAAAAAAAGACATGCCTACAATTAAATTCACATTTTTCCCGTACTTCTGTGTTCAAATTAGTATTAACTAGAAATAAAGACCAGATCTGACTAGCTAAATTCAAAGGTTGTCTCACATTAATTATATATTAATTTTTGTAATAAAGTCATCAATCAATCAATTTTTCTTGTACAATTAATTCAACGTTGTTTGTAACTGGAAAAATATTCAATTTGTATTATTGGACTATACGTCGTATTTGCTAGTTTAATTTAGTTAATTTAATTTTACTAAAATTTAATTTATATTGGATATTCTTTTATAAACCTTCTTTAATAGCTGCTCTAACTCCATCTCCCACTTCCTTCTCGTTTCCATATAGCCAGGCACAATCAATATGTCTGTATCCCACTGATAATGCATGTTTGACAGTCTTTTCGCACTCGCCAGGTGGTGACTGAAATGAGAAAGTAGGGGTATTAAAATATGTTTTTTTTTCTTAAAAGTAGTTAGAAAAATACATATAAAATAGAAAAACTAATTGAAATGTTTGTTAATTTATTTATCAATTCAATTGTCTGTTCAATCATTAATAGAATCTCAGAAGTTATTAAATTATAAAAATGTTTTGTGAAAAATACTACAATAGTACTTGCATTATCAGTTCAATAGTATGACTCAAAAGTAATCTTATGAATGTTGCTCTGAGTCTCACATCTGAATCACTTTTTAATAGGTATATTATTACGAAATACGAAAGTCTAATCGAAAAAAATGGCGTCCAGTTGGCTTGGAAATGAAGATACCACAGATACTTCCAAGATTTACATTCCCCATATAATTTTACAGATAAATTTACAGTGATCTTCATTTCATAGCTATCTCTGAGGCCATATATCATATTGTATTTTTAATCTAAAGTTATAACAAAGTTCCAAATTCCGTTGCAAATTAATGAATTACTAATATCGCTATTAAAAAATAGGGGTTGACGGCAGAAAGGTAAAAATTTAAGGTTGTATGTATTTTTTAATGACACATCATAAAAAATTAAAAATAAAAATTTGACCTCAAGAAAAATTTGGGTGGACCACCCTTATCACTTAGGGGTATAAAAAATATTGAATATACATGTAAAGGGCCTTGGAAAAATAGATTTGATCGTCTAATGTCTTTAGTTCGTGTTCTGACCGGTTAAAATATGCCCAAATCGCATTTTTAATCATATCTCAATTTTTTCAAATGGAAGGAGGGTGGCTCATTAGTATATTTGGAAAAAGCATTTTTTCTACGAATAATTTGGTACCACACACTTGGTATTTCGAGTCAAATTGTCGTTATGAATCGCATGTTACAATTTCAAATAAACCACATTTGAAAATGTCAAAAGTTGACATATGATATGTCATTCTAGTCATAGTGTCATTTTCTGTCGAATGAAATAACAGAATAACCAGGGTGCTATTTAAAAATAAAACAGCAATAAAAATACGATTTGGGCATACTTTAACCTGCCAGAACAAGAACTAAAGACATTAGACGATCAAATCTATTTTTCCAAGGCTCTTTGATTAAAAATTACTGTTTTAACACATCCATGGCACCCTAGATAGAAATTTAAAATATAATTTTGTTTTAAGCTGATATATAGCATATGATATGTCCTTCTATTCAGAGTGTCATTTTCTCAATATTAAATAAAGTAAAATAATACCGAGGGTGACATTTAAACATCTAAAGTTGTAGTCATTTCCGGTGAAACAGGAGTGACCGAAAATAATTGAATATCAATCCTAATTTATGTCAAATACTAACCAAATCTCGATTTTTTATCTGAAAAAATAAAAAAGTTATAGGGGGTGAGCCACTTTTCAGATGCACCCGGTCTTAGATTTATTGATGAACTATAAACACCCCACAACAACTAATTAAATGCCACAGACTAATAATTAAAATAACGATTTGTCCGATTTTCGAGTTATTTCGCAAAGTATTCGACAATTTACTTATTTTAAAAAAAATTCTTATTTAAAATAGACTCCCCATTTCGAGCGATTCTCGTTTTAAATACCCTAGCGGATATTCTAGTGCATTTAAAACGATCGAAACGATATTGGTAGATAAAGACCATGAAAGTCCTAAACTCTTTTAGTATCTATCAAGTAACTTCTATTCTTGTATGAATGATTAACATGCATTCTTACGACGTTCGCTATTCAAACAGTCCATTTTTAAATATTTAGATTTTTGTATTAGAAAAAAATATATCTGATCTTCTTTTTCTTCTTTCTCAGCCTGGTTCCATCCAGTGTTGGATATACGCCTATTCTAGGTTTTTCCATGCTTCGCGATCTCTAGCCAATCTTATCCATTGTCTTCCCGCCACTGCCCTGACGTCATCGACCCATCTCTTTTTTGGTCGGCCCACACTTCTTGTTGTTCCCCTAGGTCTCCATAGGATTACTTTTTGGGGCCATCGGTCTGGATCCTGTCTTGCCACATGTCCTATCCATTGCCACTCTTTTAACGACATCTATTAATTTTGTTTTTTGACGTATGTAGGTATTCCGTATTTTTTCCCTAATGGTGACTCCCAACATGATTCTTTCCATGGCTCTTGTAGTTGTTCTGCTGTTTTTCGGGTAATTGCCATAGTCTCTAAGCCATACGTAAGCACAGGTAGAATGCAGCTGTCGTAAGCCTTTTTCTTTAGGTTCATGGGCACCTTTTTATCCTTGAAAATATTGCTCATATTTCCAAATGCTACCCATGCCAAATGGATCCTGCGTTTGATCTCCGTATTTTGGTTTTCCTTGCCCAGCTTGATTTTATGACCTAAATATATATAATGGTCTATGTTTTCAATAATAACGTTGTCAACGGTAATGTTATGGATATTGTTGCTCATTATCTTGGTCTTCTTCAAGTTCATTTTAAGGCCAATTTTCTGGGATTGGTCATTTAGCTCATTTAGCATGGTGTTTAGTTCTTGAATGTCGGTGCTCAGCAAGACAATATCGTCTGCGAACCTCAGATGGCTAAAGTGTACCCCATCGATGTTTAGACCTCTATTTTCCCATTCTAATTTCTTGAAGACATTTTCCAGTGCCAGTGTAAATAACTTGGGAGAGATGGTATCTCCTTGCCTCACGCCCTTGCCGAGTGGTATTTTTTCTGTTTTGAGGTCATCATCTAATTTAACTTGGAAGGTCGCACTATCATAGATATTTTTAATAATGGAATAATATCTGGAATTAATGCTCGCGTCCTCCATTGCAGCTAGAAATGACCAGGTTTCGATGCTGTCAAAGGCTTTTTGGTAGTCTACAAAGGCCAAATGTAGAGGTATATTGTATTCTGTTATTTTTTCAATGACTGTTTTAATTGTTTGTAGATGATCGATGGTACTAAAACCTTTTCGAAAGCCTGCCTGTTCTATTGGCTGATATGAATCTAGTTTCGTAGACAGTCGGTTGTTGATAATCCTAGTGAAGAGCTGGTATAGATGCGAGAGAAGGCTTTTTGTAAAATCTCCTTTTTTGTATAATAGCACAACTTCTGCGTTTTTCCATGCGTCCGGGATTCTACCCTCCATGAGACATTTATTTAACAATACTTCCACGGCATCCACTAATGGTTTTCCGCCCATCTTCAGCATTTCAGGTGTAATACGATCTTCTCCTGGGATTTTGCCATTTTTTGTTTGTTGAAGTGCGTATTTAATTTCTGTGGTTGATATTTCTGGCATATCTTCTGATCCTACGTTTGTGATGTGTTTTTGTACTCTATCTTTGTTTGGTATAACAGACTGATAAAGTATATCTGATCTAAGATACTTAAATTATTATTTTTACAGTTCATTAATTGAAAGTATAATTATTATCATAGGAATCCCAAATGTTCCAAAATAGATCAGAAGTAAATAAACTTGGATCCCTGGATCGAATCTATGCCAAAAATTGATATTTAAGAAACATTATATTCAAGATATATGGGCCAAAAATGTAAGAATAATATGTTAAAACAGATATGATTTATCTATGTATTTACAAGATATACGAATTCGGTTAAATGAAAAGAAAGTTGCATTATACTACTACTACTGCCATTACTCGCTGACGATTATCTGACACTCATCAGAAGATGGTTGCGCAAGGCGTTTTCTTTCATGTGTTATTAGAAGTTTGACAAACGAATCTGTATTTTAATTAGAATTCTGAATTCTGTTGTATCTACGACATCGTAAGTCCTTATGTTTAATTATTTTGATATCAGCCAATTAAATGCCGTTGTCACAAATTTGCTAAGCTTTCTAGACTGGGCACAACCACAGTCAAAATTTTGTTTTCTTATGACCGCCATTTTGAATTTTTAAATTATTTTTTAGAGCGAAGAAAATCTATATAGTTGTATCCCATTTTAATCCATTAATAACCAATATCTCTATAGAAGATTAAAATTTTTTTCGCCCAATATTATATTAGCCTTGAATATCCAATTCAAACTTTACAGGACAGCAATTAATTTGTCATGTACTGCAATTAATTTTTTATGTACAGGGTGGGTCAAAATTCGCTTTTAAATGGAAACACCCTTTTCTATAGGAGATAGACAAAAACTAATATCGGTGTCTGGAGCTCAATTTTTGTCAAAAACATGATGGTGAAAACAGCATATCGATATCTGTTACTGTTTCGGAGTTACAGGGTGTTTTTCAAAAATATGCATTTTTAACAAATTGCTTTAACTTTTTTGCTATGGAAAATTTTGTATTTTTATGAAAACATTCCCAAAGCACCTTTTTACGTAGAATTTAATGGTTTAAGTATAATTTTTTTAAAATTAATAATTTAAGAATAATTATCAACAGAAAATTTGATTTTTTATATGGGACACCCTGCATATTTTTAATTTATTAAAAAGAATTTAAAATTACCTTTCCAAAACTATAACACGCTTGATATTTTGCTCGATTCCTCTTCGAGATATAGAGTATATAAAAATTCACCCGCTTTAAATAAGTATAGGCTTTGAACGGCTCCGGCTGTAATGCAAACAAATTCTAGCTGTGAGCATCAGTTAAAACGAAAATAATATTTGCTATGAGAGATGCAGAATTTTATAACAATTTAAAATATATTTAGCCAACATCAACACATTTAAACTATATCTAATAACAATAAAAATAAATAGCAAACCAACATATAGATTTTGCTACAGGTGTTCGACATATCAACCGTCTTCTGTTATGGACAGACGGGGCAGTTTTTGAACATTTCTCGCGGAATTCATTAACTCAGTGGGGGTGAAAGATACCCTCTCATAACTGCTAAGTATTTCTAATTCTTGTGTAGATTATACGGAAGAATAAGGAGCCTTATTCGTCCGCAAATTTATCCATAGGATTAGATCCATGGGCATTAAGTCAGGCGACCTCCACGGCCAACGGCTGGGATCTTGGTTAGGTATTCAATTATTCTTAAAATTGGCTGCAAAAATTTGCTGATAAATTCAGCGTTCAGAGGTGGTGCGTCATCTTGCTGGAAAAATATGTTTTCGAGTTCCATTAAGGGCATATCATCCATAAGGGGTCCAAAGCCTACTAGTTAAAAGTGACGAACTTTTAAAAATTGTGTATTTCGAAGGAGATTATAACAAAATATCAAGTATGCTATATTTTTGGAAAGGTAATTTTAAATTCTTTTCAGTTAATTTATAAATATAGAGGGTGTCCCAAATAAAAAATCAATTTTTCTGTTGATAACTCTTAAATTATTAATTTTAAAAAAATTTTACTTAGACCATTAAATTCTACGTAAAAAGGTGCTTTGGAAATAGAAATACAAAATTTTCCATAGCAAAAAAGTTATAGCGATTTTTTAAAAATGCACATTTTTGAAAAACACCCCGTAACTCCGAAACGGTAACAGATATTGATTTTCGGTTTTCACCATAATGTTTTTAATGAAAATTGAGCTCCAGACACCGATATTAGTTTTCGTCTATCTCCTATAGAAAAGGGTGTTTCCATTTAAAAGCGTCGAATTTGACCCACCCTGTACAGTAATTATTTTTTACATATATTAATTTTTTATGTATTACGTGTCAAAATGGAACTCATAAAAATTGCATTGTAAAGTGTGTCTTGTATAGTGAGAAAAATAAAAGAAATTCAGATAAGGTATCACCAAGTTACAGGACACTGTATGCTGAAATAGCACAGAACACAGCAGCATTATACAACTTAGATTAAAAGGATCATTAAATTAAAGTTTTAGCTCAGATCGAAATATAGCTTAGCTGTAAAATAAGTGGAGAGTGTAGTATAAGCAATTCACAATATTATGTACAAAAAACCTGTATGAAAAATGTGTATGGCTCGTTCAAGGGTAAAATACCAGAGAAAAATCATTGGGTGGCTTTAATAAAAATTTGCTGAGAAAAATGATATTTGAAATATAAAACCGCAAATATCTGCGAAACCGTTAAAAATTTTGAAACATTCTAAATTTAAAAAATATTCAATTTTTAATTCTCCATTTATTGAAAAAATAATATACAGGATTTATACTATTTAAAAAAAAACGATGATTAGAAGAAAATTATTTTATATTTTAGAAAGCTTGGCGTAAAATTTTGAACATCCTGTATGATTTACGATTACCATATTTATAGCAAAGTAAGTACAGATACCTAATATAGTTTTGATTTCAAGACGGTTCTTGTATTTTTAATAATTTTTTAAGAGGGGGGGGCTAAAAAATATATATATTTTATTTATTTATTAATATATCTGAAACTATCGAAATATATTTACTCATAAATTAGTATTATGTAAAGTGATCTGAAAAGAAGCCAAAAATGCAATAATATACAGGGTGTTCCATTTAAAAAAGCATCCCGATCCACTCACACTTTTTTGAGCCATTCTATAGAAGTTAAAATATTTTCCTGAATACATCCTAGTAAATACTTTAGGCTTCAAAATTTCCAGGTTTTGTGTTCTAGAAGCTACAGATGCCCGATGCACTATTGCCGAACCCTGTAGGTCAAATTTGATAAAAATTATTTCTATAAAAGTACTTGCTGTCATATTGCGTTAGATGGTCACTCCAAGGCAGACCTAATATTGAGCATATTTAAACAAAAATTTAAATTTCTATAGATTTTGGATATAACCCTAATTTTTGATATAACCATTTTGATATTACTATTTTGGATATAACCGAGGATATAACCCTAATCAAAACTCGATAGAATCGCTCTCTCTGGTATAAAAATACAAAATGGCGACCATAAGAAAACAAAAATTTGACTGTTGTCCTTAATCTAGAACGCTAAGAAAATTTCTGAAAAAGGCATTTAATTGGTCGAGGTCATATTATTATTACATATATCGGAAATTAATCAAGGTGCCGGAGTTTTCTTGACAGGTAATTGTCAAACTATTAATAAATTAACTTTGGTCTCGTTTAACCGAATTCGTATCTCTTGTAGTTTCCGGGATCCCAATGATTAGCAACTTAAATAGTTTTCACCCTGTATAAATATATCGAAAATATACCGGGTGCGTCCCAATAGTGGCTCACCCCCTATAACTTTTTTATTTTTTCAGATAAAAAAAACGAGATTTGGTATGTTAGTATACGACATAAATTAGGATTGATTGACGTATTCAATTGTTTTCTGTCACTTCCTGTTTCGCCGGAAATGACTACAACTTTTGATTTTTAAATGGCACCCTCGGTATTTTTTACTTTATTCGATAGAAAATGACATTCTGAATAGAATGACATATCATATGTCAACTTTTGACATTTTTGCTTAAAACAAAATTGAATTTTAAATGTCAATCTAGAGTGCCATGGCTATGTTAAAAACACTAACTCTTCATCAAGGAGCCTTCGAAAAATAGATTTGATCGTCTAATGATTTTAGTGGCTTGTCCTGGCCAGTTAGAAAATTCTCAAATCGTATTTTTAATCATAACTCAATTTTTTCAAATAAAACGAGGGTGGCTCATTAGGATATTTAGAAAAAGTATATTTTTACGAATAATCTAATACCACACACTTGGTATTTCAAGTCAAATTTTTGATACGAACCGCAAGTTATAATTTCAAATAAACCATATGCGAAAATGTCAAAAGTTGACATATGATGTGTCATTCTATTCAGAGTGACATTTTCTATCGAATAAAGTAAAAAAATACCGGGGGTGCCATTTAAAAATCAAAAGTTGTAGTCATTTCCGGTGAAACCGGAAGTGACCGAAAACAACAGGGTCCGGCAATAGTGAGTCGGGCATCTGTGGCTCCTAGAATAAAAAACTTGTGAATTTTGTTTAACTACAAACCTACAGTATGTACTAGGATGTATTTCAGGAAAATATTTTAACTTCTATAGGGTGGCTCAAAAAAGTGTGAGTGGATCGGGATGACTTTTTTTAAATGGAACACCCTGTATATTATTGCATTTTTGGCTTCCTTTCAGATCATTTTACATAATCCTAAGACATGAATAAATATATTTCAATAATTTCAGAGATATTAATAAATAAATAAAAATTATATATTTTTCAGCCTTTCTTAAAAAAATTATTAATAATAACAAGAACTGTTCTGAAATCAAAACTATATTAGATATTTACTTTAGATGGTCTGTACTTACTTTGCTATAAATATGGAAATCGTAAATCATACAGGATGTTCAAAATTCTACGCCAAACTTTCTAAAATGTAAAATAATTTTTCTTTGGTTTTTTAAATGGAACACCCTGTATATTACTTTTTCAATAGATGGAAAATTAAAAAATGAACATTTTTTGCATTTAGAGTATTTCAAAATTTTTAACGGTTTCGCAGATATTCCCGGTTTTGTATTTCATATGGCATTTTCCACAGTAAATTTTTTAACCCCAAATGTCACCCAATGATTTTTCTCTCGTATTTTACCATTGAAAGCGCCATATGAGATAATACTGCGTGTATCCGGAAAACTACTAAAAATTTTGAAATACTTTAAATACAAAAAATGTTAATTTTTTAATTCTCCACCCAATAGAAAAATAATATACAGGGTGTTCCATTTAAAAAAAAAACAAGAAAAATTATTTTATATTTTTGAAAGTTTGGCGTAAAATGTTGAACATCCTGTATGATTTACGATTACCATATTTATAGCAAAGTAAGAACAGACCATCTAAAGTAAATATCTAATATAGTTTTGTTTTCAGAACAGTTCTTGTATTTTTAATATTTTTTTTAAGAAGGGTTGAAAAATACATATTTTAGATTTATTTTTTAATATCTCTGAAACTATCGAAATAGATTTACTCATATCTTAGGATTATGTAAAATGATCTGAAAGGAAGCCAAAAATGCAATAATATACAGGGTGTTCCATTTAAAAAAAATCATCCAGATCCACTCACACTTTTTTGAGCCACCCTATAGAAGTTAAAATATTTTCCGGAAATACATCCTGGTACATACTTTAGGTCTGCACTTAAACAAAATTCTCAAGGTTTTTATTCTAGGAGCTACAGATGCCCGACGCACTATTGCCGGACCGTGTGAATACGTCAATCAATCCTAATTTGTCATATACTAACATACCAAATTTCCTTTTTTTAATTAAAAAAATAAAAAAGTTATAGGGGTGAGTCGTTTTTGAGACGTACCGGGTATATCTGTATTCACAATTATTGCAATCATTCTGTAGTATGCAGTATAAAATAAATGGGTTATATTTTTGATATGCTGGATTTTTTTCCACCGATTTGTCAATTTGACTGGGCTAATATTCTCCGAAAAATTACTTGAGAAACGTTCTTATTTAATACTTTCATGCATTGAAATATTTATTACGATTTTTTTGGTTAATTTTATGTAGGTAGCTATCCAAATATCAACATCCAATATTCAGATGTCATATTATTTTTGAAATTTGTAAGCATGAAAAATTTGACCTTAATTTAAAAATATTTTTTTTACTACAGTAAATACTTTAAATCACTGTATAGTGTGTCTAATGACAATCTTGAGTTGTCAGTAATGATTAAAATGTCAGAACGCAACTATTGTCATCATCAGTCAATATATTTTCTTTCATTTTTCACCAAATTAAATTTCTTGTAGACTTAACCCGACATGGCTGCCGAAATTGGTAGAACCCAGTCGACGGAAGCGATAAACAAACAGTTGTTAGAAAACCAGTCGTATCTTTACGATGAAAATCAAAAACTCCAAGAAAACGTTAATAAGCTATCTAAACATTTGGAAGATTTAAGAAGAAGTACGGTAGATCCTAAAGTTCTAGAACATCTTTTATCGGAAAAGCAAAATCTCATCGCGATCAACGAAACTTTAAAGAAAAAAATTAAAGATATCAAAAGCTTGCCGCCCAATCTCAATAAAGGTGATTTAGAAAGACAAAAAGTCGAGAAACAAGAATTACTGAAGTCTATAGACGAATTGGATGTTATTCTTACACGAATTAATAATAGGCCGGAAGCATTTGAAGTAACACTGCCTAAAAAGAGTACGGTGCAAGAATTATACGATACCTTAACAAGAAGATTAGAGGATGAACAGAAAAGATCAGATGAAACTGTTGAAACTATAAGGCGATTGAGAGACGATGATGAAAAGATGATATTAAAAGATAAAATAACCGATTTAAAACAGCTAATCACAGACTTGGAAGTTGAAAATACCAAGTTAAAATTTGAAGCTGAACAACTTTCAGAAGATGTTCAAAGGTTGAGTGTATTTTCTTTTAAAGTGTATATTTTGTTATTTTTAGCCTTATATTAACGGATTTTTAAGCAGGATGTATATAATTTTATCAAGTTTAATTCGTAAACTCAGTTTTTTGTAAACTTTAGTATTTGGCATATTATACAGAGTTAGTCAAGGGGTTCTTTTTTTACCCTAACTTTAAAACACCCTGTGCAATAATTTCGTGTGTAAATTTTCCTAAAATATAATTTAACGGTGCTTTTTGGATCATGTCAATACATGCTTTGGTTAATTTTAAAGAGCGAAATGAACTTGCCACCAACAATTTGCAATTATTTCAATTATCATTTCTTTTCCAAGTTATTTTTCAATGTGACAAAGCGGCTTTGGTAATTATTGTGAACTATATACTACTATGAACTGCACATCATGTTCGATGTTTGGCAAATGCTTAGCAGGAGGGTTAGAGGTTGCGAAGCAGTACCAGCTTCATTAAATGAACTTCGCGTGGTCCTTAAAGAAGAATGAAAAAACATAACGCAATAATATATATGCAGCCTCAATGACAATATGAACGGGCAGTTATGGCAGCCAAAGGTAACAATACAAAATATTAGGGTATTTTTTACAATTTTTTTTCTGTTTGTATTCTTGAGTATTTCAGATGTTTTCTTTAATATCGTTAGTTCTGTTATCGTTATTAATGTTTATTAAAACCCGGACTGTATCGTTAGTCTTTAACGTTTTTTTTTAAATTTAATATAGAGTATCCAATGCAGTGTAATATGATATTACGACATTCGACAATAGTCACCAAAACCATCTCGTCATATTAAAAAATTACATCATTAAACCTAACACCACTGCATATTGTCGTCGGTAGTTATGCCAATGCGACAATGATTAGAATGGTCATTGACGGAAACAGTACTGGGAGAATTTTTAGGTCAGGGGCTTGGAACACCCTCAAAAAGAAAATCCCACTTCTCCAACTCCCAGTGGACGACATACCAAGAATTTACAACTTTGAGAAACACCTCACTGTAGTATTGAGTAATAAAAAGGATTGGAAGAAAGAAACGCTTACTCAGCATATAAAAGACCATACCATAACGTGGTATACTGATGCTTCCAAAACCAAAGCAGGGACAGGGATAGGAGTATTTGGGCCGAAAACCAAATACTCCGAACCAATGGGCACCTACCCCAGTATTCTTCAGGCAGAAATCTACGCTATCGAAAGATGTGTACAATTTATCTTAGATAGGAACTATCGAAAACAGGAAATTGCCATCCTATCCGATAGTCATGCAGCACTAAATGCGATCAACTCAGTAACCATCAATTCGAAGTTGGTCAAAGAATGCCTAGAGAAGCTCAACAAGTTGGGCAAAGAAAATAAAGTCCTCCTACTCTGGGTGCCTGCTCACCAAGGGATAGAAGGCAATGAAATAGCAAATGATTTAGCTAGGAAAGAAGCGAACACTCCACTAACTGGACCAGAACCGTTCTGTTTTCCAAGCGGAAACCAACTGAAAGCGGAACTGAAGAATCTGGAAGACTCCAACCGCAACTTGGAATGGGTGTCCTCCAACGGTCTAAGACACTCGAAAAAGTTTCTCAGAACCTACGACCGAGAAAAATCAAAGGTTCTCCTTGATTTAAGTAAAAACAAACTTCGGATTGTCACGGGGTTTCTAACAGGACACTGTCTCCTCAACGAACACCTCAGTAGGCTGAAGCTGAGAAACAACGGCGAATGCAGATTCTGTGGGGAATATGGGGAAACACCAGAATACCTTATCACTGAGTGCGCCGAGATGACGACTATTCGTGCCATGAACTTTGGTACGGCTGATGTCAAGGATGGAGAGCTGGCCTCAGTGGAGCCGTCTCAGATACTGGCTTTTGTTAAAGCCTTGAGACTGTATGATGAGTTATAACTCGTTATAACTCAAGAAAGGGGAACACACAATAGATCTGTAAGGTCGCGGTGACTAACTCCCCTCCTAAACATTCTACATTCTACATTCTACAAGCCTGTATAACATGCCAAATACTAAAGTTTATAAAAAGCTGAGTTTACGAATTAAAGTTAATATAATTATATTACAGCTTGCTAAAAATTTATGAAAATATGGCTAAAAATAACAAAAATATAACATTTTAAATTTGACCAAAAATTTCTCCGTTGCGTTTTTTTTGCATCTGAATATAATAAATTCATAAATCTTATTATTATTTAATTTAATGTATTTTTAATATATCTCGCTTGTAGACATAAAAATCAATTATCAGAAGCATCTCAGGAAATAAGTGGCCTTAAAAAGGACAAAAGTGTGTTGGAAATCGAAATTGATCATCTTAAACAGGTAATATCAGATTTGGAGCATGAAAAGCTTAATCTAAAAAAGGATATGATCGAAGAACTTACCGAAGCAAATAGGGCAAAACGTGTTTCCGCAGATACCGAAATAGCTCTTCAACAAATCTCGGAAGCGTACGAAAATAAAAGAAAAGAAGTGGCCAGATATCAAAAACAATTAGATGAGGCTAATGGCATAATAAAAGCTTTTAAAGACCAATTTGAGAAGCAAAATGATCTAGAATATTGAAAGAAAACAAAAAAATGTTATTGTAAATTGTATTTGTCATATAATAATAAGGTTACAATGATTTTTTTAAGAAGAATTTTAATTTTTTGATGATTGTCAAATTTTATGCCTTTGAGCGATATCTTAAATGAAATTTTCTGTCCATATTTTGAGTGTAAATATGAGATAATTATAGAATATTTAAATTTATCAATATACAGGGTGTCCCAATATTCCGTGAATACAGAATTAGTACGTATTTTTGGAATCAAAATAAGTTCATTGGACACATCTAAAGTGCTTCGTTCGTCCGTTAGAGGGCATCAAACTTTAACAGAATAAAGGCATTTTTAGCCGACAATACCAACAGGTATCGTAGGCTATTATAATTGGCAAAAAAATGTTTTTTTAATTTCACTCAAAATGAGTTATTTGGGTCATAAATGACCTAAATACAAAATATTTTTATGGTATCTGTCTGTCTGTCTGTCCAACTGTCTGTAACACGATAACTCAAAAACCGCTAAACCGATTTTAACCAAATTTGGCACAAAAATACTGTGGCACCCGAGAATCTGGCCATTAGTTTTTGGTGGGGTTTGGTTTTAGGAATTTTAAAAAATCGTAACTCCAAAATTACAGTAGCTAGCGAAACGCGGTTTTCAATTTAAGATTAGGAATAATATTTGCAACAATATTTATAATAACATCAAAATCAGTACGGTCAAAGTCGCTCTTTTTGAGATAAAAAAAAATGGGAAAAATTTCTTTACTTTCAAACTAAAAGAACTGCCTACCAACTTTTTATTAACATACTTTAGTATGGGCGGCTATACTAAGCATAATAGATTTTATGCGCCTACATACCTTGATGCGAAATAAAAAAAAATTTTTGGTAGTCAGCTTTGGAAAAATATTTTTTCCCCAAAAAGTATGCACGATGGCGTTTTTTTACAAGAGACAAATGTTAGTTTTTAATAAAAGTATTTCTTTAGTATACATTTTTTTTATACTAAAATTTATGTAGGGGTGGAGGTAGTTTTCATCCTTCACGAACTTTTTCTTGATTTTTGTGAAAGACAAATGTTAGAACACTCAAAGCGGCAAAAACAGACACTCAAAATTCCATTCAAATCGGAATAACGGTTCTTGAAAAAATCGGTGTATATATTTTTCGTTATTATCTCGAAAACTAGGCATCCTAGCGAAAAAAAAATATTCTATACAAAATGAAAGTAAATTCAATTGTTTACAAAAAAGGTCCTATTCATTTTTTCGCTAGAAGCAGTAGTGAAGAGGTTTATCAACTTTCTTGCAAAAAAAATTGAAGCTCAAGGATTAATAGCAGTAGTAGCCACAGGAGACGCTGATACCAAAAACGTAAGCTGTGGTTTGCAGCCAGCTAACCAGCATCAAACTGTGACAGTCATAGGGGAGGATATAGACCTGTTGGTGTTGCTTATTGCATTAACCCCCCTGAGGAAGAGATGCTTTTTTTAAGCCAAGCAGGGGAAAGGTGGAGTCACGTTGGTATAATGTCGCCAACCTCCAAAAGCTGCCATATGCGAAGACCATTCTGTTACTCCATTCGTTCAGCGGTTGTGGTACTACCTCCGCTATTTATAACAAGAGCAAGGGAGGGGTGGTTGAAGTATTTTTAAAGGCTGAAGAGGAGGTCACAGATATTTACAAAGTCTTCTCTGATCCCTTAGCAAAACAGGACATGGTAGCCGATGCAGGAGAGCTGCTTTTTGGCATTGTACCAGGCCCCAAAAGGAGCAGACCTGAGTCGGGTACGACACCAGGCCTTTGTTAAAGCCTCAACAAAGCCAAGGCCTGATTTTGCGGCATTTCCACCTACTAGAGGCGCTGCTCGCCAGCACTCCCTCAGAGTTTATTTGCAGGTTTGTGTCAATATATGCTTTGTTTACCTTAACATTTGTTTTGTATTACTGTAATGACCAACAACGAATTAATTATCATTTGCAGCTTCAGTACTGGCTGCATGGAAATCAGCAGCAGGAGTCAACTGCTTGGGGATGGTTGAATGGGTTGGACGGCTTCCTCACCCCTGTCACAAGCACGGATCCAGTTGCGCCAGAATCTGTCCTAAGTAATATATTTTGCAGGTGCAAAACTGGTTGCGGAAGCCGCTGCGGGTGCGTTAAGCAGGCATACCCTGTTCGCTTCTGTGCAGCATTTGCCACGCTTCGTGTACCAACGGTCCTCCAATCATCGGCATCAATGGCAACGACGATGATAACTTTCACGATGAACTCGAACAATAAAGTACTGGATATTGTCATATATAAACTTAAATACTATATAAGAGTTTCTTGCCTTGAACTGCTAATATAGAAATTAATTCCACGCTGTGTTCGACATAATGTGGATCAACCTGCTCTCGTTTCGGGGCCCTACCCCATCATCAGGTGAGCTTGGGTCGTTTCCACAATATGTCGTTTATTATATACCTAAAAATTGCAAGAAATTTATTTTCCATTATATAACTTAAATACCTAGGTATATACAAATAAAAAAAAATCTGGTTTGTGTTAATCGTCCACAATACACAGTTTTTTCCACCTATTCTTATTTTCAAAGTATTATACACCCTTAACTACTGCTCACAGTGAAAACATGAATAGGACCTTTTTTGTGAACAATTAAAATTACTTTCATTTAGTATAGAACTTTTTTTCGCTAGGTTGTTAAGTTTTCGAGATAACAAAAAACCTATAAACCGGTCTTTTTCATCCTCCCCCTCCCCCCACTGCTAACGCACAAGGTCTATGGCTTGGGACTTTTGGTATGTTACTTCTCTGGGTCAACCCAACAACCACTTAAAACAATGATCTCTTTGACACTATGTTTTCCGAATTCATGTTTTCGTTTCCTGGCCTATAACGCAAAACATGGCAAATATCAACATACCTTAAGCTGTCAACCTGATGATCTGATAAGCCAGTTTCTACCAAGTCGGCAATACCAAAATTTATTGCTGTTTGAAAGATAATAAAGAGTGAGAATGATGAGTGGTGAGTGGTGTATCTCCATCTTCGTACTTATCTTTAAGAAAGGATCACTACTAGATTGTACTAATTACAGAACAATTGCCCTCTCCATGCCAGTAAAATACTCTTAACCGTCCCCCATCAACGAGCACCTAAAACCCTTTCTCCTCCCGCAGATGTCAGATGAACAAACAGGTTTTATTCTCGGAAAAGGCACTAGAGGACAGATCCTAAATCTTCGACAGATCCTAGAAAAAGTCAGAGAATACAACATTGATGTACCTGTGCTTCGTGGACTATTCAAAGACGTTTGATAAGGTAAAATGATATATACTCTGGATTATTTTACTAGAAATGGGCACTCCACCTCACCTCATTTATTTGGTCAAACAGCTCAATGAGAAAACATGTTATCGAGTAGTTTCAAAAGTGACACAGGGATGTATCTTCTTCTTAAAGTGCCTATCCTCTTTGGATGTTGGCTATCACATTGATCCATATTACTTTGTTCACTGCCGTTCTGAACAAAGCTGTTGACGTCAATCTGGTCCATGTTCGTAGATTTCGCAGCCACGATATTCGTCTGCGTCCCGCTGATCTTCTGCCTTCTATTTTCCCCTGCAGTATGAATTGGAGTAGGCGGTATTTCTCGTTCCGCATGATGTGTCCGAAGTATTCCACTTTTCTACGTTTGATATTCACCAGAAACTCCAACTCCTTGTTGATGCGGTGTAGTACAGTCTCATTTGACACGCGATGCACCCACGAAATCCTAAGCATGCGCCGATAAGACCACATCTCAAATGCCTCCACACGCTTGCATGATGCTCCATACAGAAAAGTTGAGAGCACATAGCATCTCAGGATTCTGATTCTAGTGCGTTAAGGGACAGGTTGCATAGTATATTTTGCATTTTGTTAAATATCCCTCTCGCGATTTCAATTCGGTGTTTTATTTCCAGAGAGTGGTCCCAGTATAGTCAGGGTGCAACCCAGGTATGCAACTGTCTCGGCCGCTGGGAGAACGTTGTTGTTAGCAGTGAACTGAAAGTTGTTGATGTAGTTCTTGCTAATGATCAACGTTTGAGTCTTCATGCAGTTCAACTTCATTCCGTATCTGCTGCATGTATTCGCCACACGATCTATAAACCTTTGGAGACCTTCATTGGTATCGGCCAACAGAACGGTATCATCGGCATATCTCAAATTGTTTACTATTTCTCCGTTTATTACCAGCCCATCCTCTGTGCCATCCATTGCCTCTCTGAATAGATGTTCCGAGTACACATTGAATACCAGAGGCGACAATATACAGCCCTGCCGCACTCCCCTCCTTACAATAGACTCTTCTGAAGTTTCGTTCTCGATTCGAACCACGGCCTTTTGTTGACGTTTTGCTATTATCTCTGCATATCTATCGTCTATTCCTGATTCCTGTAAAATCGAGATGAGTTTGTCATGCTGGACTCTATCAAATGCCTTTTCGAAGTCTATGAAGCACGCAAAGACATCTACATTGACGTCGCGTGCTCGTTGGATTAGGACTTGTATTGAAAAAAATTGAGCCTCACTGGTGCCCAATCCCTTTCTGAAGCCGAACTGAGTTTCACCTACGTTTTCATCGAGCTTCCTATATATACGTGTTTGGATGATATTAAGGAGGATTTTTAGGACGTAGCTCATCAGACTGATTATCCTGTGATCAGAGCATTTGGTCGCGTTTGCCTTCTTGGGAAGCGGTATAAATGTTGATAGCAGCCAGCTTGTATACATTTTGTTGAATAGGGTGGTCAGTAGTTGAACTTGTTCCGAGTCCAGCAGTTTAAGAACTTCTCCGTGTATCTGATCCGGTCCGGAAGTCTTGTTGTTTTTCAGACAGTTTGATAGCTGCTTCCACTTCTTCCTGTGTAATGGTGGGCCCTATATTGCCAGTTCCTGCAGTTATGTCATCGCTATTTTCGTTTCCGAAGAGCTCCTCCATGTACTACTAAGGCAATGTATACTCTCGCCAACCCTGTTTAATATCTACACTGAATATATTATGCGTCAAGTAATAAAAGAATGGAACGGTGGAATATCCGTGGGGGACAGGAGGATAAATAATCTGAGATACGCGGATGATACAGTTATTATAGCCGCCAGCAAAGAAGAGTTGTGGGTGTGGGTAGTCATAGTTGTACTGTGCTCTATTAGTGAAGAATAAACTAAGTAAACGTAAAACCAAGACGATTATGGTTGGCCGCCCCCGCATCAACCCGCCTGGTGTCCGAATCGTTACTGGATACGAGATTGTGAGCCAATTCATTTATTTAGGTTCCATGAAAGCAAACTCTGGAGGATGCGAGGCTGAAATTAGGTGAAGGATGGCAATGTCGAGGAATGCAACAACAAAACTGACTAAGATATCAGGAATCACACGAAAAACTAAACTGCGCATTGCGGACTCCCTCATTTTCCCCATACCTATGTATGGCTTCGAAACCTGGACACTGAAGGAAAGTGATAAACAAAGAATAAACGCCTTGGAGATGTGGGTATATCCTCGGGTATATCCACGATTGCCGCGAATACCATGGACGAACAAACATCTCCATTATAGAAGATCTAAAAATGAGACACGTCTGGTCACAAAATTAAATCTGTCAATCCTTATTTTTATAGAACATAAAGGTCTGTTTTTTTTCAAAAATATTTGCTAAATTTAATGTAATAAATAAAATAGATTTGTCCAACATAGTTCAAATTTGTCACATCTATTCAGTATATGCAGGCCTTTCAAAACATATTTACGACTTCACTGTAAAATCCAGTATTTTGACAGTGCAAAATTTGCATGGGGCTCCTACGTTTCCCACGACAATGGACCACCAAAATAAGTAAAGATGCACTCCAACGGAAAAGACATTTCTATAGCTAAACAGTATAAGACATATTTCATATTTCTGTAAGAGAGGTGTGAGAAAGGTGAGTGTGAGAAATGAATGGTTATTGAGAGAGTGCACTGGATACAGCCCAAAATCTTGGATTTTGAGATCAATCTGGAGATGGTAAGTCTAACATTCTCGAAAAGTATTTAAAGAAAGAAAGATCAAGGTTCGAATTGAAATGGCGAATGAGCAAGAAATCAGAAAAAAGTGAAAGACATCGTTAGAGCGTATTTGTTGTATTATATTTAAGTTAGTCCATTGTTGTTTAAATCGTATAATAAATTAGTTTTATTGTGTTTGAATTAAGAACCTAGGGAATTCGTAACAATAATAAAAATAATAAAACTACGTAAGTCGTCTCATTAAACGTAACACTCCAATTAGTTAATGTAGATAGGATCACCATCAAATCTAATTTAATCGATGAAACAATCCCCAATATCTAATATCCAAATATCTATTAACCGAAAACGTTGCCTAGTTTTTTCATTCTAATATGTGATGTGGATTGTCTGTATTTAAATATAATTATTATTAAAGTTTTTAACTCTTCAGTCATTGCAATTCAAGTCATTATAATTGCTTTTTAAACTTAAAAAAATCCACGTGTAAAGGATTATATTAGGAACAATTAAAATAATTTTCAATATTTAATTTGGTGCAAATTATTTTATCTGTTTATATAAATATAAACAGATACACCTTAAAAAACCTTTTGAATAATATGTCATAAGAATATAAGAGTGTAGAAAAGTAAAATGGATGTCAATATTTTTCTCAAAAATTGACTGCTGTTTCAAAGTGATAGGGAGATAATAATTATATAGACTTACTTAATAAAACTAATATAATAATCATATTATTGATATGATTATTATGGATACTTGGATCACCAAGAGTTAGTAATAAAGAATGTATAAAATCAAAGAATATCTGGTGAAAGGTGAAAACTGAGCCTAGTAGATATTTTCACGTATAATCCAGTGGCGTAACTAGTTTTTCGTTGAAAGCTGTCATTTTCGAAATATAACCTAAACTTATGTTTTTTTTTTAAATGGGACACCCTATATATATATTTTTTTTAAAACTTGCATTGTCATGAACTTTCTAAAAATATAACATACAATCATTCAATTGCTATGACTATCTATTATAAACCGGCTACCTATGCTAAAAAGTTAAAAAATGTATTTTTTTACCTTATTTATGAAAATAAGTCCATGGTATATTATATTTTTGGAAAGTTCATGACAAAGCAAATTAAATAAAAAAAATATATACAGGGTGTCCCATTAAAAAAAACATAAGTTTATGTTATATTTAGAAAATGACAGCAACGAAAAACTAGTTACGCCACTGGATTCTATGTGAAAATGTCTACTGGGCTCAGTTTTCACCTTTTCGATTAGTTATAAGATAACCGAGATATGAAGGAGGTCGAAAAATGCTACATTTCGCCCTGTATTTAAAGAACTAAGAGGGCTAGGACAATTTTGTGTGTAGCATCTTTAGTTTCATAAATAAGTAGCACAATGAGGGTAAAACCGCATCTTTGTATCTCTACCCGTAAGCGAGGTACCCCGTAAAACACACGAAAATGGGACACCCTGTACTTCATTAAAAACGCTTAGCATCAGTTCATTCAAACTTATTATTCTGTAAAATGGTTCCTATTTTGTTTTAACAAAAATAGAGAGAGAGAGAGAGAGAGAGAGAGAATATGTATACGATATGAATTATCAATTTTTTTACCTGCACATGTTACCGGCTAATTCATTCTATCGAAAAAATATAATAGGTTCTGCCATTGTTATTAGATTACATCATTTATTGCACTACATAAAAAGTTGCCGCAGTAAATATTACAGTATAAAATATTTATATCACAGCATTATATTTAACCGTATGATCGAAATAAAAACGGCGTCAAAGACGTCTGGGGAATAACAATCGATGATAATATTGGCGAGGTCAATCTCTAGGTGTTATTTACTAAAAATTGACACAAAACTTATCAAAAATTCATATTTCTAAGGCGCACAAATTTATTCTGAAACATACTATAAATATTTACTATGAAAATTATTATTAAAATAAAGAAGTCTAAAAAAAAATTTACTTGTACAGATTATAAATATTACATTGATTACAAATCACACTCATTTTAATATCGTTTTTTAAGTTTTATTTTGTGATCACTGATTGTTAAGGTAATGTATTACATAAACATGAACTGGTTTGTTGATTTGTGTCGACCAAGACAATTTACTTTTTTAATATAATCCATTTATCTGTGCATTTGACAGATTTACTTGGACAATAAGTCTTATAATCAGAATAAAATTGTTATAAGATAGAACATAACATTATGTTGAAAATTATAAAGCAGATTATAATACCATAGAATCGAAAAAAAACACAACAAAGACGGCTGGGGATCTGGGGAGGGACAATCGATGATAATCTTGGCAAAGTCAAGTCCTAGAAGTCATTACTTGACCCGTACTCTTAAGTAAAGAATTCTTTACTTTGTAATGGCGCTTACTGCCAGTTGGTCTTCAGAACGTTGTAATTTATTTTTATATCGAGTAAAAATTATTTTTTACCTGAAGAAGTTCCTGAGGACTTCCGATCAAGAAAAATCAAAGATTTATTACCTTGATTTAAGTAAGAACAATCTTCGGATTGTCACGGGGTTTTTGACAGGACACCTCTCTTCTCAATGAACACCTCAGTAGATTAAAGGTAAGAAAAAAAAATTGGCGCCGGGAGGCACGTATAGCCGTCCATACTAAAATATCTTAATAATCAATTATCTCAAAAACTACGACTTTGACTGATTTTGATGTTATTACAAATTTTGTTGCACAAATATAATTCCTAATCTTAAGTTGAAAACCGCGTTTCGCTAGCTATTGTAATTTTGGAGTAACAATTTTTTAAAATTTTTAACCCCTTCCCATACCCCCTTATCAACCCCCCACCCCCACCAAAAACTGATGGCCAGATTCTCGGGTGCCACAGTATTTTTGTGTCAAATTTGATTAAAATCGGTTTGGTTTGGTTTGGTTAGGTTTTTGAGTTATCGTGTTACAGACGGACAGAGAGACAGACAGACACCATGAAAATATTTTGTATTTCGGTCACTTATGACCCAAATAACTCATTTTGAGTGAAATTAAAAAAAAAACTTTTTTTTGCCGATCTTAATAGCCTACCATACCTGTTGGTATGGTCGGCTAAGAACGGCTAATGCAGATTCTGTGGGGAAAACGAGGAAAGTGATATTTTTGGAAAGGTAATTTCAAAATATTTTCAATAAATTAAAAATATACAAGGTGTCCCATATAAAAAATCAAATTTTTTGTTGATAATTCTTAAATTATTAATTTTAAAAAAATTATACCTAAACCATTAAATTCTACGTAAAAAGGTGCTTTGGAAATGTTTTCATAAAAATACAAAATTTTCCATAGCAAAAAAGTTACAGCGATTTGTTTTAAATGCATATTTTTGTGAAAAACACCCCGTAACTCCAAAACGGTAACAGATATCAATATGCGGTTTTCACCATCATGTTTTTGACAAAAATTGAGCTCCAGACACCGATATTAGTTTTTGTCTATCTCCTATAGAAAAGGGTGTTTCCATTTAAAAGCGTCGAGTTTTTTTTGGCCAGTCCTTTAAACCCTAAACTCCACCTCGCACTTGTAAATTAATTTCGTTTTTAAGTTAAACGAACGTTTTATGTTATGAGTCAATAGAAGAATTATACAGGAAAATTCCACGCTCAATGTAGTAGGGTAGAAAATATTATAAATTTTAATAGAATTCAAATTTTTACTTAGGAATTGCTATGTATAAAAGACATATCAATCTTGATAAAAATAAACATATAATATATTAAGAATTAATGCTTATTAGAAAGTACTAATGTTGTTCTTCAAAAGCGCCAAAAGATATCAACATAAAGCTTGCATTTTGTTGTTTTAGAATACGGCCCTGTTGTGTGAGAGAAGCAAGAAATCTATAAATTTGCGCAGAGTAACAAAGAAGCGTTTTAAAGCCATCAGAACAAAGCCTAACTTATCCTACAACTTACAAGCCATGTTCCCAATCCTATTACTGGACACTGTTGACCATTATTTAACGTGACAGTAGGGACGTTTGTCATATTTGACAGAGCGCGCTTTGACAAAATGTTTAAACTCCTTAACCGACCGCTGTTTTCGATCGATAAAACTGTGGACGAAAATTTTCCGGCGATACGACTACCTTGAAATAACGCAACACCGATGTTTGCTAGAGAGCTTCCAGCGTACGACTTTATTAGTCTACCTGACATGTTTTAAAAATAGATGTTTGGAATATCTGACATTGACAATCAAATGGAGGGTGATAAACTTATAACTGAGTATACTGTTTATTAAGAATTACAGGTAAAATCAATAAAAGTCTAAATCAATAATTATTCATTACAAAGGCGATTGATGGAAGAATTCCCTGGGAAGCGATTTTTTTACTGTACTATTAGTAATCATATTTTCGGTTTCTATTTATAGAAATTAAAAAAAAATAAGCAAATGTATTTTAAAATCGGACGCATACGCATTCAAATGTGTTTTTTATTTGGTCCAATAATATATGGACGAGTTTATACAGGGTATTCCAAAAAGTTCCCAACCAATATGGAAATTATTATTTAGATATCAAAAAAAGTTTATGCGATATTAACTCAGCATATCCGATGATAAAAAAGCTCTTGCTATGGAAAATTTACGCACATTAGAAAAAACTCTACATATATGTAAAATGTAGGATCAAAGAGCAAGATAAATGTTAATGAAAAATTGTTCATAGGGAAATGTTATTTCTTTGTACCAATTATATAAAAATATACAATGAATTTAAAAAAATCTTTTTTGATTTCTCTTCAATTATATATTAATTCCAATATTACGTAAAATAACTTGAATCCAACGAATAGGCGTGGTGCATTTCAGTCGATTTTAAAAATTCCGACAGCAGCGCTCGATCGGCAGAAATCAGAAGTTTTCCCTCTGTATTTCACGCAGTTCCTATGTTGATAGCATTGAAATAATATTAAAATCGTGGCTTTGTCAAAATATTTAAGTATTTTAGTTTTTATTAGTGCAGTTATTGAAACTATAAAACACTTACATACGAGGAGTTATTGAAACTATAAAACACTTATGCACATCACACAAACCTAGTAGTAACGTACGAGGTTTGTGTGATGTAAACCTGTTTCCGGTGATTTAAGGAGCTTTCTGCAATCGACACCTTTCAGCCCTATAAAGCAGCAGGAGTAGATGGGATCTTTCCTGCCCTTCTAAAGGAGGGTCAGCAAATAGCTACTCACCATCTACTAAGCATTACAAGAAGCAGTCTAGAGATGGGATATATACCAACCACCTGGAGAAGAGCAAAAGTAATCTTCGTATCCAAAATAGGCAAAACTGACTGGTCAAATCTCTAAGTCATTTAGGCCTATTAGTCTCACATCGTTCACACTAAAAACGCTGGAGAAAGTAGTTGACAAGCATATTGAAGAAAATCATCTAAAGGTCAAACCACTACACGATAGTCAGCATGCATATAGAACGGGGAGCTCCACAGAAACTGCTCTGTACCAATTAACGAAACTAATACAGGCAAGTCTGGATAGCAAAGAAACAGCAATTTGTACCTTCTTGGATATTGCGGGGGCGTTTGACAATATACCACGTAAGGTGGTCCAGGCGATCTCTAGAAACAAAAGAGGTGTGAACAGAACTATTATTCGCTGGTTTTGGGAAATGCTGTCAACACGAACAGCAGAGGTTCAAATGGGTACCAAAACTGTAACTGTTAAAACAACGCAAGGAACTATACAAGGTGGAGTAACCTCCCCTTTGCTGTCGAGCTTGGTAGTGGATGAACTACTAGACGAATTGACTCCAGCGGGAATACACTGCATTGGGTATGCAGATGACATAGTCAATGATCGTTTGGGGGCAACATGAAGGCACCCTGTGTGATATTATCCAAAGAGGACTCCGTATCACTGAGACATGGTGCAGGACTGTCGGGCTGAGTATCACCTTAGACAAAACAGAGATAGTTCCATTCACCAGAAAGCGAAGTCTGAAAAACTTGAAAAGAATCCAACTGGACGGAAAGGAAATACTGCCATCACAGGAAGTCAAATATCTGGGAATAACCCTGAACAGTAAACTCCTATGGAAGCATATTAAGAACATTACCAGCAAAGCCACAAAGACTATTATGATATGCAGAAGACTGGCCGTAAATAGATGGGGCTGCATCCCTAACATATTGCGCTGGATACATTCGGCGCAATATGTTTTATTCTTACAAATAGTGTATACCATGATAGTAAGGCCCTTGATTACTTATGGACTCATTTCCTGGTATACAAACCTAGAGCAACGGACGGCAAGGCTAAATGGACGGCGGAAAAAAAAATGGACGGCCTGTGCAAAGTCCAAAGACTGGCATACGTTTGCACCACAGGAGCCATGAGAACCTGTCCAACAGCAGCAATGGAGGCCATTCTAGATCTAACACCACTGCACATTCATACACTGCATATCACCGGTAGATATTCCAATGCGACAATGATTAGAATGATCACTAACGGAATCAGTACTGGGAGAATTGTCAGTTCAGAGGCTTAGAACACCCTCAACAAGGAAATACCACTTCTGCAACTCTCAGTGGATGATATGCCAAGAATGTACAACTTTGAGAAACACCTCAATGTAGTATTGAGCAATAAAAAGGATTGGAAGAGTGAAACGTCTGCTCAGCAGTTAAAAGACCATACCATAACTTGGTATACTGATGCTTCCCAAAACCAATGTGGGAACAGGGATCGGGGTATTTGGGTTGAGAACTAAATACTCCGAACCAATAGGCACCTACCTTAGCATCCTACAGGCAGAAATCTACGCTATCGAAAGATCCGTACAACTTATCTTAGATAGAAACTATCGAAAACATTAGATAGAAACTATCGAAAACAAGAAATGGCCAACAAAAAGTGATCAACTCAGTATCAATCAATTCGAAATTGGTAAAAGAATGCATAGAGAAGCTGAATAAATTAGGCAAAGAAAACGTCCTCCTATTCTGGGTGCCTGCTCACCAAGGGATAGAAGGCAATGAAAAATCAAATGATCTAGCTAGAAAAGGAGCAAACGCTCCACTAATTGGACCAGAACCGTTCTGCTTCCCAAGTGGTAACCAACTAAAAGCGGAACCCAAGAACTTCAAAGACTCCATCCGCAACCTGGAATGGGAATCTGCAACAGACTTACGACCAAGAAAAATCAAAGATCTTTCTGGATTTAAGTAAGAACAATCTTCGGATTATATTCGGATATTTTTATTTTTTCAGATAAAAAAAAAAAGATTTGGTATCTTAATATATGACATAAATTAGGATTGGTTGACGTATTCAATTTTTTTCTGTCACTTCCTGTTTCACGGGAAATGACTACAACTTTTGATTTTTAAATGACATCCTCGGTATTTTTCTACTTTATTCCATAGAAAATGACACTCTGAATAGAAAGACATACCATTTGTCAACTTTTGACATTTTCGAATATGATTTATTTGAAATTGCAACATGCGATTCATAACGACAATTTGACTCGAAATACCATATGTGTGGTATCAAATTATTCGTAAAACAATGCTTTTTCCAAATATGCTAATGAGCCACCTTCGTTCCATTTGTAAAAAATTGAGATATGATAAAAAATACGATTTGGGCATCTTTTAACCGTCCAGGAAAAGACATTAAAAATATTAGACGATCAAATCTATTTTTCCAAAACTCCTTGATTAAAAGACTCTAGATTGAAATTTAAAATACAATTTCGTTTAAAGCGAAAATGTCACTTGAAATTCATTATCCTTGAATTATTGTTGGTACATTCATATACCAATAAAATCAGAAGAGACCGCTTCGATTAATTCCAGTTACCTTTTTATCGACTGGAAAGTCAATAACCGGCAGCGGCTAGATAGCTAACTTTTAATCCATAAGGATATTTCGAGATTTTTCATTTTTTTCTTTGTTTATAATCTTAAAGCTACCTAAAATTCAAAATTTGAAGGTTTGTAACTCTTCTAGAAGTACCTTAGAATTTTGATGTCTGTCAGTGAGTCAATGTCGAAATTAAAGAAATTTGACAAGCGATAATTCATATAACTATGAGGAATAATTACTAGATATTTTGATAATCTAGCCAACTATAGTATTGCTTTAGCCACAACGAAGTTACAGGGTGGTCAAAAGTTCCGCTAATACCTTCGAGAATAGGATGGTAGGGCTGCGCTCGACTTATACCAGGGAGAGCAGGTAAATTCTTTCTGCAAATATTTGAGAGTCTATATAAAAAGCTATGAGTGGAACGGGTGGAATTCTGTAACCTTGGCCGTAAAAACTAAACGGCAAGCGAAATTATTCTTCATCGCTATTGATCGCTATTTAGTTACAGAATTCCACCCCAGCGGTTAGGTTAGGAGTTCAAAGCGCGGCAAATATATACCATAGCATAAAGAACACCTTTCTAGATAAAAAGAGACTAAGATAAAAAGAGACTAAAATCGGCGTATTTTAATATGGTTAGTGACGAGCTGCAAGACCAAAACCAAGATTCCCTTGGGCTTGGTCTTGTAGTTAATCTCGGATAATAAGTAGTCTTGTTCTTGCCGGTTTCAACGCTCGGTCTTGGTCTCGCTGTTCGACTCTTGCAATTCTTGTATTTGGTTAATGGAGTTTTACTAGAGGCAATTTTTACATAAAATATCTTTAGTAATTTAATGCAAATAAAACTTTAAAGAAAGATACTATTACAATGTCTGAGGAAAATGTTTATTTCTCAATTGGTACCTATATTATACCGGGTGCGCCTCGAAAGTGGCTAACTCCTATAATTTTTTATTTTTTCAGATATAAAAACTAGATTTGAAATGTTAGTAGATATATGACATAAATTAGGATTGATTGACGTATTCAATTGTTTTTGGTCACGAAACGGAAATGACTACAACTTTTGATTTTTAAATGACACCCTCGGTATATTTCTACTTTATCCGATAGAAAATGACACTCTGAATAGAATGACATATGCGAGGACATATGCCAACTTTTGGCATTTTCTTAAAAAAATAATATTTTAAATTTCAATATAGAGTTCCATGGCTGTGTTAAAAACACTATTTTTCAATCAAGGAGCCTTGGAAAATTAGTTTTGATCGTTTAATGTTTTTCGTGTCTGGTCCTGGCCGGTTAAAAGATGCCCAAATCGTATTTTTAATTATATCTCAATTTTTTCAAATTGAACAATTCATACCACACACTTGGTA